GGTGAATTAATTTCTCTATAAAACTCCTTTTATGAAAACAAATAATTTAAATGATTTCGCTTATTATAGAAACAAATTCTATGGATTTATGTACCGCAACTCATCCGCTAGTATAAATTATTTGTTTTTATTCTATACAAAAATATTCGTGTATAACAGCATATTATGTTATTTCAAGTAATTTGTATTTGAAAAAATAATATATAACCCGATTATACAAGTGTATTATCAGTAAAAATTCTAATATCACGGTAATGTTACATAGTGAAAATGCGAATTTGAACGACTCGTTCAGGAAAACCATAGTAAGGAGTAATTGATAAGAACCGTGACCGATCGTAAGAAATGAACGAAAGAACGAGTTATATGAACGATCCGGATCGTTCGATTGACCCGAAATTCCCATCACTACTTCGTAATCAGTCGTGTAACGTGTTGTCATTTTTTAATCATTAACGAACGGCGAGCGCAAACCTTTGGTTTCGGCACTAAATGCCGTGTTATATCTCGCTGTGTTTGTGCAGCGCCAGTCAGGCGCAACATTATGTTATCTATTTTCGTCCTACTATCTTTTATCATAGATTAAATACACATAGATAGGCCACGGCATTCAGACAATTGGCAACCGATTTTTTGTTAATTTATACCCGTAGAGATAGCGCTATATATCCTCTCGGAAATATTAAATATTAATAATAACTGTCCAGTTTGCTGATATTCAAATAATAGTCACGATTATTGATGTACGGCTAACATCGTTAGCGCAAATTAAGATAAGAACCAGTTAATACTAAAAGGCGATTGCTTATTTGATTTAAATGAAACTTTTCGTTTTAAATACAAATTCGATAAAACATGTGTTTTTTATTTTATTAATATTGATTTAAATTTGACTATTATTTATGTTTTTTAATTTTCTCTTAGTGTTGAAAATCTTAACTTATTACATAACAATTTCTCGCTACCAATTTGTCCACTGTCAAGATTTTTATATTATTTGGTGTTTAATTTCTTAACTTACCAGTAATCAAGTCTAATAAAGATATTTATTAATAATTACACATATTATAAGGTTTTCATGTATAAAATTAGTAATTTATTTTTTCAAATATACAATGAAATATTAAAAAAAAACAAATTTTAATAATATATAATTTAAAATATAAAATATAGTTTAAAATATAAAAATTTTAAAAACTAATATTTTAGAAAAAAATATTCAAACAAATAAAGCAATTTTAACCGAAGTTCAGATCACTAAAAATGATAAAATAAGAAGTTAAGATATGTTTTTACCGCAATTAAAAAAAATACACTTATTTTCATGTTGTGTACTCATTGTTATAATTATAATTATACAGATAATAATACAAATAAATATATTAAATGGTAAAACCACACAAAAGGGACCTTAGTCTTCAGTACTCAAGTGAAAATATGAATAGTGATTATGATATATGGAAGATTTTTTATCTAGTTGGATATTTTTACATTGATAGGTTTTAAAAACAACACAAAAATACAAAATAGGCATGATAATTCGTGTTACAATAAGATGTAAACATAGCTAATACATCCTGTTTTTAATGCAATTCCAAATATAATCCTGGCGCCGAGATATCGTATTATTAAATCGTACTCTTTTACGTGGTCTATAGTACAATTGTTTTACGATCTCTCAAAAAGTGTTAAATTTTATTTTTAATCGTGTTAAATTTGTAGGGTCACATGAATTCATGAAATTAGGCTTGTCAGAATCTATCATTAAAGTAAAAAGGACCCATACTAATTATACAACTGGAATTATATCTCTAGCTATATATATGATCTTATAGTGATTAAGAAAATGTTTTTATTGGAAGTTGTATAACATAAATCAAAGATAATTATGCAATCATACCGATTTTAAACACATCAGAAAAAGATGTTTCGATTTCTATAAATAATATTAAATTTGATTTTTTACCACAAGATTTCGTGCTCATAATTATACAGAGTGTTCAGTAAGTCAGGAAACGGGTTTCTATTGTTCTCATTGTTACAAACAATGAGAACAATAGAAACCCGTTTTCTGACTTACTGAACACTCTGTATGTAAATACTATCAATTGTAATAATGTTAATGCTAATAATAATAATAATAGATTAACTCTTTTAAATCAAAACCTTAAATTAAATCATTTAAACGGCAAAGAAAAGTCGTCTATTAATAATCTATACAATCAATTTAATGATATATTAATTTTATCCGATGATAAATTATCTTATACTAATCAAATTGTACATAAAATAATTACTCCTAATGCTCATCCAATTAATATAAAACAATTAATACCTTATGTGTCATAACGAGGAAGTTGATAAACAATTAAAAAATCTTTTAAAGCAAGGTAGCATTGAAAAGTCAAATAGTCCATGGAACTCGTCTAGAATTCTAAATTTTATAAAGGAATATATATATATTATGTTTTGTCTGTTAATAAATATTTTTTTGATTTGTTTTATACTCTTTTTTTAGTTTCATAAAAATTATAAATTAATTGTTCAAAAAAAGAGTTATATAAAAGATTAAATAATCTGAATTATTTTTACCATGTCAGAAATATTTATTAACGATATTTTTTAAAAAGGCACTAGTATAGAATTTACTCAATACCTACAAAAAAGAATGAACCAATAAGTTAATACTTATTTGAGTCATTATGATATCTTAACTATATGCTATGTTAAGTGGAAAAAATGATACATAATAAATGTATTCGTAAAAAATTATAAAGTTATGTTTATGAATAAAATGAAATTACACCTTTCAGAAAAGCTAGATACAAAAATAGTGCTTATTATTTAAAAAAAAAATGTATAAACATGCAAAATCATGTTTGAGTATCGTATTACTGGCTTGTTAAATTAATTAGATTAGAAACATAATTTTAAGTAAAAATTAAATTAAAAGCAAAGTATCAGATATCTTATTTTAACAAATTTTAAAATTTTATATTTTTCATAATTTCTGAATGTTTAGAATTTATAATACATGATTTCAAAATAGGTTATTTTATGTATTTATGTTATTATTTATATATTAATATATTTTATTATTGTGGACTATTAGATGTGATTATTATATATCTTGACATAGTAATACAAATACAAAATAAGTATAATATAAAAGCTTTGTGATATTGGGGCACAGCTCACATGATGATTTTTATCATAAAGATTTTTCAACTCATCCTAATTACAAAGTAATTTATCTGCCACTGCTTTCTGTTTAAAATAATTTATAAAAATATTTAGAGACCAACAGTTTAGTCTTGTACTGTAATACCACATTTTATATCAAAGTCCTGTTAAGGATTCTTAGTATAGTATTAAAATAAAAAATTAAATAAAATTTCAATGAAAAATAATTACAAAGAGTTAAAATCATAAATAACCTTACATTATGTCATAAAATGCAATTAACGTGCATAACAATAACAGTTTAATTATGTGCATCATACATTCATGTAATAATTATTAAAGATATAAAATACCACGTATATTTCAACCAATAGAAGCACTCAAAATTTACGCTATCTATCAGCATAATCGCCTGCGTCCAGTGCATCGTTTCCCTGCGTCCATTCATGATAAAAATTGGACTGCCAAAATTGTGTACGGCGTGGTCTATCTATGTGTATTTAATCTATGCTTTTATGGTTCAAGATTACGAATTGCGTTAATTATAATATTTTGAAAGATATTTGATATTGATAGAGGCTCGAAATTAATAAATTATTATAAGATAAATTGCAGGTGAGATTGTGCCTCACTTGCCTCACCCGGCGAGCCACCACTGGCTCTAACTTATTGAAAAGTGTATGAATCAATACAATTTTATTATGAGAAATAATATTTATATCCCTCTTTCATTCGCAATACTTTTTTTTAAAATAACACCATTACCATTTATATATTGTAAATATATATATTCATAGGTTACACTTATAAATCATAAAACTTGTAATCAGGATATAAATAAGGAAATAGGAGATCATGTGACTTTTGGAAAAAATCCATCGATTTTTAAAATTAATAACTATAGATTTGCATCGAAGCGTTTTTTATGATAGTGATTTTAATTACTGTCAGATATCATTATACTTAACCCAACTATGCCACATCCCCACTGTGCTGGGTTTTTATTTTTATAGTAGATAGGATGGGTAAATTCCATTCTATGAAAATATAAGACTTGGTTTCATAGGGGACGGGTGGGAAGAAAAGGAAGCTGAGCCCCTCAGTTTCCTATTTAGCCCTCAAAAACTTTGTAAAATTATTTAATTGTTTTAAAGAAATCAATTTTTGAAGGGAAAAATTAAAATTAACCACTCTACATATACGACCATGTGAATACGTACCATAATTTTTTCTCATTGTTTTAGTCAAGTTTTTCAATTAATAGGTTTAACAATAAGTTACTGCTTTAATAACATTACTCCAAGTATTTTAATTAACAATTTAAATAATATTATTTTCTCGTCTGTTAGTGGTATTAGTAAAATAAAGTAAGGTTTCTTACTGACTGTAATGTTCAGTTTGAAAATCAAACCAAACTTTTTCGTTATAAATCGGTTTGAAAAACAGATATCACTCTGAATCAGTTAAATAATGATACAACAAATATTTATCTGAAAATTATTAAAATTGTTGTTCAATTTGGTTCGTGTTCGACTGAACTATAAAATTCGGTTAAAGTTCCATTATTAAATTAAAAGTTAGGATCGATCGTAAAATCAAGGTTTGTAATATCATTTGTTATAATAATCTCTTTAAAAGTTATATCATATAGTAAAAATTTCTGATAACTTAATAATTCATATTATAAGGTTAAATGTAACATATTACACTAATATTTATATTCAATTATTTTATAATAATTACAGGATATAACATATATATTTTTAAAATACATTAATATATATATAAACAAGTGAGCACAAGGTATACAATTTTAAAACCCTATGTCTAATACAAATTTTGGTGTTAACAATAATATATAAAGTATATAAAAAGACTTTTAAGAAGATTTTGGAAGATTTTTTATTAAATTAACCCAAGTTGCATGAAAGTTCAGCAAATAAAATTATATATATTAAAAAATGTAATGTTTCATGCAAACTGGTAACAAGTATAACAGTGTAAAAATAAATAATATAATATCAAAAATAAATTTATCACAAGTAAATTTTTAAAGATCATTATTCAAACCTAGTCCAATTAGATTTAAAGTTTGCAGGTTTTGGTGGTAAAGTTATTGAAGTGTGATTTGTTATTGATGGACCCGGTTCACTAGATAAACTCAGTGTATCAAAATTTAAACCATATTCATTAAGTAAATCATTTGTCTTTTTAGTTTCTGAAGACTTTTTACTAATAGGTTCAAAATACTGATATAAAGGATTGCTGAGTCCTACAACAGGTACTACAACATCGTTGGTTGTACTTTTTAATGGATCAAAATCATCAATACTATTACTAGAAGTTGAATCTAGTTGTATTAAGTCTTTTGTTTCCATTGGACATATATTAGACACTGAACCAAAGGATGTATTAAAAACATCTTCATCCATTTCATTGGAATTTTCACATTCATTACTATTTCCATCATAATCCTATAAAAAATATTTAATGAACCTAATAAATATTTTAACAAATTATTTTATTAATACAAAATTTGAATTGGTTTTTTTCAATTTATAGCTTATATATATATATATATTTTAATTATTAATTTTTAGCTTCAATGTGAAGCTGAGAAGGTATTAATTTTACTATGATGTGTTTTATCTATTTAATTCTTTTTAAAAAAACATTTTATTGATTTAATTAAATTAAATAACTTAGGCTACTAATGTTTGCTTTATAATTGTATAATAATTATTATTATTCTGTTTATCTTTAATATTTTTTCTGAAAATTTATGCTTGTGTTAGAGAAATTGGGAAAACCTATATAGCTCAGCACAACAGATTCAAACCCTAATACTAACATACTGGTACAGAATGTTTTACAAACTAAATTAAAAAGGGCGCCTGGTTATACATAATGCTAAATTGAATTTAAGGCTTAATGATTGACATAAAAAAAAAATGACATACCACTAAAGAACTCGTATTATTTTTAGGAAATTTACTAAATATAACATCATGAAGATCCATCATCAAATCCATATTAAGTTGTAAGGGTGGAGAACCTGGTATATCTGATAACATGCTAATAAAAAGTAATAAAATAAAATGATTATCTTAAACACAAAGTGAAAAATAATAATAACTGTTAAACTTACTTTTGAGTTACACTCATGTGTTGAATACCATTTTTGATTTCTTTATGAGTGTTATTAGATGTTGTAGTAAAAGCTGTTGTATGAGGTCTTGAAGGTTTTCTTTGGGCTGATGGAGAATTTGGAGCAGAATTTGGTTGGGTGTTAATCATTGTTCTTGGATTTTTATTTTGAACATAGAGCTTAGACCGAAGTCCTTTATAAGCCAATCTTACATCTCTACCACGTTCTTTAACCTTGAGAGAAAAAATTAGTTAAATATTTATATTAGATTAAAATAATTAGTTTCTTACAGTTTTAACAGCATTTCTAACAGCAGGGTTAGCCTAAAAATAAAATAATAAATTAAATATATTGCTATTTTAATTACACATTCTATTACATACAACATTTTTAACAGATTTAAACAATGCCGTCCCTTCTCGTTTTACAGTATAAGACCATTCTTTATACTGTTGTTTTAACTTGTTACTAGTTTTATCATGATAATTACATACTTCCATTTCAAATTCATCGGAAAAACCAAGTCCAGCATTTAACATTTCTAAACGTTCTTCAATAAACTATAATTGAGAATAAAATAATTTTTTTTTTAATTTTACAATATCATAATTATTCATTTTTTTAAATTTACTTGTTGAAATATTTGTAGTTCCAACATTTTTCTTAAAAATGGCTGCATGTTAGTAGGCCTTGACTCTATGAAAGCTTCTTTATTAAATGTAATTAATTCTCCCTGATGAAACTTTAATGCATCCCTGTAACCACCAATTAATTGAACTAATGTACGTAAAAATGCTCTGGATACACCATCCCCTAAAAGAGAACCTCTATTGCGTAACTGGCGTTTCAAATTTGATACCTTTAAATATAATAAATAAAGGAAAATCTATGTTAAAAGAATATTGTAAAATAAGTTTACAAATACAAAAATATGTTATATTAATTTTAAGTATTAAATTGTACTATATGTAAACATATTTAATTTTAAAAGACAAATAAAGATTATACTCTATTCATACATTTTAACCTTTCAGTTATTCATAATAATAAGAGTAATGTAAAATAATAATTAAGCTAACATACTAAATCTGTAGGAAGTTGTTCTACATCATTAAATGGTGATTCAACTGTATTATTGTCAGCATCTAAAATAACAACTTCACCTAATTCATTTTGTCTAAAACCCTGAAAACAATTATTACATTTAAAATTATGAAAAAAAAAAATTTTTTTTTCATACTTGTAATAATGATTGTGGTAACCCAATTAGATAAGGCATTGGTGCAAGTAAATAATCAATTAGAGAACGAGGTAATACTGGAATAAAAATATGTTGCCAGTTCATTGGATAAAGGATAGCATTTGCAGCTTGTACACAAGAACTCAATCTATATAGTTTCTTAGAAGTAAAAATAATGCGACGTTCAAATAACATTGATGCAAAGATTATTATCATATTCTGACTTTCAACTGCATTATAATATTCAGTAAGATTTCTCTAAAATAATATAAATGTGATTTAATATAACATTCATACAAAGTAAAAATAAAAATGAATCTTTTTGTTATTAACAGTTTAGATTAGGGTGAATATAAACTCTTCCAGGTCAATTTTACTTACACTATAGTTTAGTTTAAGGAGGTACAGGAGATAATAAAACCCAGACTTTGTCTGAGGTAAGTAGCCTCACTAAAATTTTTAACCCTAAGCTTCACAATGTCTTAATTCGGGTTTGATGTTATTAATTATTCTGTTTATAATAAACAGATTTTAATTAAATTTAATAAATACGATCAATCCTAAAGATAATTTATAGTATATAGTAGTATATATCATCCCTAAATACTAAGTAGTATGCTAATAATTTAGACATGTATTGTATTTATATAAATTACTATCAGAAAAATTAGGTACTATGAAAATGTACCTAGGAGAGTTTACTGATAACACTTTAAGTCATATTATATTTAATCTAGGAAAATTCATCCTATAATTTATATTAAATCTCACATTTGAGAGAGTTAACTACTACCATTTTGTTAAGTATGGTAGTTAATTATTTGAAGTTCATTTTTATTTACAATAAATTTTATAAATTATCTCACATTTTCAGGAATACTAGGTAACTGGAAGTGAATTGGTGACTGGCAAATAAATATCTAGTAAATAATATAAATATTATATTAATTAAACATGTATGCATAAATAAATTTAAATGAAATATTTTCTAAATATTATACTTCATCTCCTTTATCATTGGTAACTCTTAAATCACATCCTTTAATTGGTAGTTTACTATTATACACATTTTCTAAAAACGACCATAAATCCTTTGACTTAGAACTATTTGTGAGACTTGAGATACAATTTAAAAATCTAAAATATGAATTTAAAATAAAATCTGTTAAAGCAAACTCATAAATATATTTATTGAAAGCCAAACCAATAATTTAGTTATTGAAATATAATGTCCAGATAATATAGAATATCCTACTGCAATTTACTTATTTTAACATAAGTTTATATAGTCAAATTAGTAAATCACATTGGTACACCCTTAATATACAATAACCACTTATACAGAGCGATAATATTTTATACAGTTTCATTGTTATGTTAACATTGTTTATGTTTAAACTCAATTCAATGTTTTATTGATAAATATCTATAGAGACAAAATTAAATTGACATAATATAAATTATTTATTTATTTATTAAAAATATTAATTTTTAATAATACCATAATAGCAATTTATATTTAGTTAAATTCAAAAAGCTTTTGAAAAGAAAAAAACAATTCATTTAATAATTTTGTTAATATTATATAAGGTATAATTAATTTGTATCTCTTTTTAATATAGTTTACATGAGAGCTTAAGCCCTCATGTACATATTTAAATAAACTTTACTTTTGACAAAAGAGGGGAGGAGATGAAGCAATTTGGCAGAAATGTTCCCCACCGAGTCTAAACTAATGAAATAGAGTATGAGAATACAACCATCACGAATAAACTTTTCAAGATACATCTACAATTTTCACAAGAAATTATCCTTGAGGCATAATAATCTTGGGTATTAAAGTGATTGTTCAACTACAACTTATGTTTAATAAGCAATATCTTTAAAAATATAAAACATAATATAATTTTTCCCATTTGAAGTCAATAATATCTTACATTTTATAATTTTCAGAATATAATTTGTTCCTATTTTTGCTATTTCTCTTTTAAAATGATTAACTATCAATTAAAACTTTAATTTTGATTTTTTAACATTTTTAAAGTCAAATTTTAAATTAAATTAATATTTCAAAAGTAACAACATTTTTATTTTCTGTACTCCGTTTTTCAATATATACTAAAAAAAATTCTATAGATATAAAAATAAATAGACCTATTAAAACAATTAAAACAGACAATTAAAATCATTCATTTTTAATGTTTTCAAATTATTTATTGACGAATCAAGTTTAATAAGATAGGTTTCAACTACAATATAAAATTATTTTACTTTGTAATTTAATAATTTTTTTACTCTATTTGTATGTGTATTATTTATTATTTTGTGTGTCTATTTACTCTATTATTAGACTATAATATTCCAAATTTTTTGGTAACATGTTGCTATATAAATCATTTCTAAAAAAAAATGATTGTTAGTTTCTCCTGAATTAACAATGGATTTTTACAATTATAATCAAATTTTATAATACGCTCAATTGAGTAAATCTTTTTTACAACTTTGTTTTGATTGATTCATTTAGTTAAAGTAAATCATTAAAATTAATTAAGTTCTGAATATTTCAATTGCAGAATCTTTTTAAACACCAAAAGTTACTAGGAAATGATTACTATTACTTCTATTTAAGTTATCTATTACGATAAAAATCCAAAAAAATATTAAGCTACTCTGATAAATTTACTATAAATAGTAATTATAAAACTTCCTAACTGTATATTAATCTTAACGATACAATTTTTTTAATTCTCATAAAATTTTCTATTTAATGATGACAATTTCAAACTTGCAAATTGAGCTAAAAGTTATGGTAAAACAAATACATTTTTTTTTATTATATACATTCACAAAAATCAACTATAAACGGTTAAAAAAATAGGTTAAATATGTCATTTACCTTATTTTTAACATATTAATAATCAAAATCAGTATTAATTTAAAACAATTTTTTTTTGTTCTTAATTATTTTTTTTTTATATGTAAATAATTTTTTTTTAATAATAAGTAATAATATTAAAACTTAGAAGTGATAGAAAAAGTTTAATTGCATATTTGAAAACATTGAGATAAGTTGATTTAGAAAAGTACATTTTCTGATGAAAGATCCTCGTAGTCCAGTGTATAAAACTTATAACTTTATTATAAGTAACAAACATTTTTATTGAAAAGTATTGCGTCAAGCTCTTTAAATTTTTATACACGTTAAAAGTAAACAAATATACTACTACTTTATTATTTTTATAATATCTCCATAAAAATTAGAATATTAAATTATTGAATATAAATTTCATACGAAATTTAATTACTAAAATTAAGGGAATAAGAGTTATTGTTGTTTTTGAAATAATCTATCAATTTCTTAAAATTAAACACTATCTACAGATTTGCATCAAAGCGTTTCTTATGATAGTGGTTTTAATCACTGTCAGATATCATCTATACTTGTTCCAACTATGCCACGTCCATACTGTGCTACCGTTTTTTTTTTTTTATTTAAAGAGCGTATGATACTATTAACTTTAGAAAAAATAATATTATATTTTATATTTTTAGAGTCATTATATCAGTTATAGTAAAACAATGCACATTGACAGTTAATACTTACAATGATTACTATTATTTAGATTTTAAATAAAAAAGATTGTTTTTTTTCACCTATATTTTTTAATTTATAAATATATTTTTTTTCTGTTGAACAAAATTTATTTATTGTTGAATATTAGCATTACTGTAATTAATATGAGAGCTAAAATTATAATTCAATTATAAATTTTATGGGAGAAATAAGTTTTTCCTTGATATTTTCCAATCAAATTACTCACAGTTTTTTTACTTTAACATGTGCAGATTAATCTGTTTATTATAAGCTATTTAATTACTCTCAAAAGAAATACAATATTAAAAAAAAAGTTCAATTTTTTTTAGTTATTTTTTTATTTATTGCCTAATAATTACTTTTTAGGATCATACCTTAAAATGTATAGGGATGTCAACTTTATTTTTTTTTTAATGTTAAATATTAAGTTAATTAAATATGTATATTACACAAATTTAACTAATATTTTATTTAAAAAGTAGAAAATTATATAATAAAGAAAATGACTGGTTGATAAAAACTTTTGAACTATTACTTTGGAAGTTATTCTCATTATTATACCTAGGTGGGACAAAGAGTATTTCATGAAAAATATACAATTTAAATAATAATTAGTGATAAATTGATTAGACTAGTGATAAAAATAGCAGCACCTACTCCACACTACCAGTGATTAATTTAAATTGTTAATAGCTTTTGAAATACTGGTTAAAAAGTTGTTATCAACTAGTTATTTTCTTAATTACATTACTTTCTATTTTATAAGTTAGTTAAATATGTATGTTGCCATTTAAAAAATTAATCAACTTAATTTTTTAAATAACTCATTTAAGTTATAAGGAATAATTCTAATAAGTTACTATTAGTTAATAAAGAATTACATATATCTAAAATAAATTAAAAATCATTTTTTCAACATTTATTTTGCAAGTAATTGAGTGGTTTATAATAAACCAATATTCTGTATAAATTATATTATTTAATTTTTTGGCTTTTAATAAATTAAATTAAAAAAAATATTCTGATATAGGTTTTAAAAAGATTAAATTACTTGTAAAAAGATTCATGCCAAGGTAAATAACTTAATACAACTAATGCTGTTTCAGATTTTGGATCATGTCTACAAAAACCAAAAGTCCATTTTGATTCAATACTGGTTAACACAAATGAATAATGTTGAACGACACTTCTATATTAAAAAATACCAAATAAATTTATGAAAATAAAAATTTTTCTACAAATTCTCTTTCATTCCTCAAATGTAAACTAATTACCTGTCAAATTCACACGGATAGGCAAATTTTGGTACAGAAGATAACACATCATCTGTTTTATAGTGCTCAGGAAATTTTTGTAAAATCCAAGGTTCTTGAACTTCATTACTTGGGCCCACTACTTCACAGAAACATTCAAATAAATGGGTCACATCATTCCTTTAAAATATATATATATATGTGTTTATATTTAATATATAAATATTAGTAATAATAGTATAATGCATAAAATTTGTAAAAATTTTACATAAGTTAAAAGGAACCTTTAAAATACAAAGATAAAGGATTATAAGCAATCAATATTTTAAATCTATCACAGTATATATAAAGAAGTTGTAATGATTATCTTCATTTGGTAATTAAACTAATAATAAGTAATTATTAATAAGACCAAATAACTTACATTTAATTTGTAATATAATACTTTTTGGTTGAAAACTTTTGTTAGTTAAGTAAACATTTTAAACAGCAAGATTTAAAGTAACTTATTAAACTAGTATTACAGAATAGATTTTTCTTAACTATACAAAATCAATTTGACCCAAGAATGACTAAACTAACTAAAACTATGAATAACTAAAGTTTAACTCATTTTAAATACATATATTTATTTTATACATTTTCAGAACAATAATACACATTGTAAAGTGAAAGAAAATTATTTTATATTCCTGAATAATGTATGAGATAGCTTATATGCATTTAGTTCTATAATTATCTAATTACCATGGTGGTTATTAAATCATACTAAAACTAAGTGTACAATATTTTAAGGTTTATTTTATATTATTGTAATAAAACAATTTTTTTAATAAAAAATTATAAACTCACTTTATCCGTGACCCCATTCCATCAAGCTTGTTGGAATTCAGGAAGCATAAATAAAATAATTTATCCTAGATAATTACAATTTCATATTATCTATTTTTAACATTAAAAACAATTTTCAAAAAAATCAAAGGGACAATAGTTGTAATTATTCCGTAAATCATTAGATATATTCAAGTTGATAAAAAAAATTAAGGCTACCTTTCTTATTCTTCATTAATTTATAATTATTTGTTTGATAGCACAAAAAAATAAATATAATGATAACGATGAATTTTGACAGTAGTTTAATAGAAGTATATGTTAAACATTTATAACTCGGACTATGTGAAAACAGATAGCTCTTACTGTATATTTATCATTTATATCATCTGTGTTCGTAACAGGAACGTTAATATATATACACACGTTTAGGGTTTATAATCCCCACCCCAAATATTGTATCAGAGATACAATAATAATTATTAAATTGGTACAATAATGAGTTGAGATAAAGCTTATTACATTTCATAGACAGTAATATATTGTACAATAAGTTATTTTCTTTTTATCACTTTTTAAAAAGTTTAAGCAACTTTATTAAATAAAAATACTGAGATAAAGATAGAACTGTTAAATAGCTTATTATTCTTAAATTTGTTTAAAAGTTACATTTGTTTCCAATCATTAATTTTTGTATTAATTTATTTTATTTTTTGTTGTATTAAAATCTACTTAACTACCGATTTCTGCTGTAACTTACGTTTAAATATTAATTTTTAATTTATTCGTGATTAAGAATTACATTAAGTATATCGCATATTTTTGTTATATTAATGGATAAAACAATGTATGTCAACTTAATTAAAAATTAGATATGTATTTTATAATTGTCCTTATATACTATAGATTAGGAAATGTCTTCATCAAAAGACAGCCGTAATCATATTTATGATCGAGATACCAGTAGTGATACAGAAGATTATCATGACAATGACGATCACAGGCGTCGTGTCTTTAAATCAAGATTGAGGTAAATCTATTATTTATGATTCCCAATCTTTCCTTCTTCTATTAATAAAACAGTAGGTTGGTTTGGATTTGGCCAATATCAACCGAACTGATGTAAATAAAGGAAAGAGTTAAGTGCTTTGGTTTCCTGTTGCCTTCTGTATTAGTGACAAAAGGCTTATTGCTGCAATAAAAACTAACAAATGGTTTTTGCTTTAATATTAATTTAAAATCTATTTCAAAAATCTTTTTATCTAGTGATCTTAATATTAATCTTTAAATAATATTTTAATTAATCAATCTTCTTATTTTTAATTAATATTATAACTTTCTGAATTTAAATAAAGAATAATAAATTAAATCTATTTTTTTTTTTTAATGTTAAAATAATTTATTTATAATTATTATAAATAAATTATTTAGTATCATGGAATTCAGTATTATTAAGAATTTTATTTTTTTATTTTATAATTTTCTAAATTATATGATATTGTCAATACTGCTCATTTTTCATCTAAAATATTTTGAAACTAATTAATATTTTATTATTATAATATTATATTTTATGTTTAAGTTATGCTAATTCATCAAAACCCAAGTCTTGTCTAGTACAGCGTCATTCAACTGGAAGTCAATTACCCTTAACCCCAATTAACAAACAACAAACATCTTCAGTTAGGAATAGGTAGTAAAAACATTTCTTAGTCACCAATTATAAATTATAATGTAATTCTAGTAAATTGTTATTTTCAATCAGTGCCGATTTGTTACCATAGAAAAGTTAATAAATTTAAAGAAAAAAACATGTATTATATTTATTCAAAACGCATATTTATGTAATATTTTTTATAGACTGTTTCCCATAATTTCCTGTTTAATTATTGTAAAAGCATAGTATATTAATAACTAGAATAAATTTAACCATTTTTATTTCAAATATATTATTATAGAAAAGCAATTTCGAGGTTCTCATGCTCTGTTAGTTCAATGAAAAATTTAATAAATCAAAATACTTCTGGCTCAAATTCTAGTAATATGCAATCTGCTTCGGGTTCTGGACATATGACCAAAAGAAATATTATTACTAAAGAAGAAAGAGTTACGCTTATTGTAGACAATACACGTTTTATTGTGGATCCATCAATATTTATTGCACATCCAAATACAATGCTAGGAAGGTGCAAAAAAAATATCAAATATCTTTTTAATTTACTTTAAGAAATATTTTACTTCATTATACTAAATATTTTGTATTACTCAAACAGAATGTTTAGTTCTAATGAATATACCAACAAAAATGAACGAGGAGAGTATGTGGTTGCAGAAGGTATTTCAGCAAATGTGTTCAGATGTATTTTAGAATATTATAAAGGTAATGTGATGCGTTGTCCTTCTTCAATTTCTGTTCAAGAACTACGTGAAGCATGTGACTATTTATTAGTACCATTTGATGCCAAAACAGTAAAATGCCAAAACTTAAGTATGTACTTAATTATTATCTTTTTTTTAATTAATTTTTTTAAATGTGAATATAATATATTTTCATTTTAAAAAAGGAGGGTTATTACATGAATTATCAAATGAAGGAGCTCGATATCAATTTGAAGTGTTTTTAGAAGAATTAATCCTTCCTCCAATGGTGAATTCAGCTCAGAGAGGAGATCGTGAATGTCACATAGTAGTTTTGTTAGATGATGATTCTGTTGATTGGGATGAAGAATATCCTCCTCAAATGGGAGACGAATATTCACAAAGTATGCTAATTATTCGAATATATACCCAAGTCCAAAATATAAGTTTTTGATTACTTTTTTTTTGTAGTTTTTAAATATTACTTAAATTGAATATTTCACATTTAATAATGTAAATATAGTAATAAAAAAAATATGAGTTTCCAATAATCTTATCAAAAAAACTGTTCATAAAAAAACTAGATAAGTATAAATTATAAAAAACACATTTTATTCTCAACATATTTGCATAAGCATTAAGCATATTTGCAATATGCTTTATTTAGAAGTTTCTATGTTTTTTTATTAAGTGGTATATCAATAGCAAGCATATAATATAAACAATTTAAAGATTTCTAATACTCACTGAAAAAAAGAGCATATGAGACATAGTATGAAGATTCGGGAAAACGTAATAGATAAGAGAATAAAAAATGAGACATCGGTATTTAAAACCAGTTTTCATTTAAGTCTGGTAAGTAAACAATGGAACCATAATTTTGTGTGAGACGACTAATAGTAAAGTATAGGGAAAAGAAGAAAGAGTTGTATGGTTTTTATAGACTCGGAGAAAGCGTATGATAGAGTTTTGATATAGCTTTTAAAGTGGGCATTAATGAGAAAAAGAGTTATAAATAGGTGCATAAATATAAGCGAGGATATGTATGATGGCATTTGTATCCGGGGTAAACAGTGTAGGTGGAGTAACGTAAGATTTTAAGGTAGGAGTGCACCAAGGTTCTATTTTAAGACTTTACTTATTTTCTATAGTGATGGATGAAATTACTAGAGAAATACAAGGGAGGTACTATGGTGTATGTTGTTCGCCGATGGTATAGTGTTAATAAGAAAAAATAGGGAGAAATTTAATCATAGTCTAGAGGTATCTAGAGATCAGCTCTTGAAGAAAAGGGTTTAAAAGAATAAGTAGGAGTAAGACAGAGTATATATACTATGAGTTTGACAAAGGAGAACACATGGTAGATGAAATGAGATCATTGACAATAAGCAAGAACGTGATAGAAAAAGTGGAAAGTTTTATGTATTTAGGATCAATTGTGCAAAAGAACAGTGTATTTACGAGGATGTAAGACACATGATTATGTGTGGGTGGTTTATGTGGAGTGAAGGTCGACATAAGTAGTTGGGATAAAGGTGAGAAATAGAATAAGCTATATGATACCAATAGAATTTTACAAATAATATATTTATATCATGAGATATTGGTTTTTAAAGATTTAGAAAAGTTGAGAAGTGGAGTATAATTTTGTTATAAGGGATTAAAACCTATATTAAATGATAAATTACATTTTTTGTAATACAAAAATATTTAAATATTATTTTTAGGAGAGAGTTAAGTAAATTTAACTTCCCCAAATTTTATTTTAGTAATAGTTATCAACCACTTAAGAATATCCGAGGTTGAAGATTAAAGAAGCGTCTGGTATATTATACAATAAATGAACTACAGTAAGGCTGAAAGGTATGTTCTATAAGACTGTAGTGAGATCAGATATGATATATGGTTTAGAATGTTTGGCAGTTGAGTAAAGCAGAGATGAGACCAATATTTAATGAGTTACAAGCATTTTAATTCATAGATTATATAGTGTATAGGTAGAGCGCAGGGCTAAGAACTGAAATAGTTTTTGGCAATTTTTCTTATATCTAGTAAATTAAATTTTAGTAAAAAAAATTATTTTATATAGATATATATATTTTTTAGTGTATGTTGAAAAACAGATTACAGAAACTAAAAATGTAATAAAACCACTTTTAAAACCTAAATTGAACATAAAATTTGACTTAAAAAAAATTTAAAAGCCAAAAAAAAATATTGATTAATTTTGGTTAATGATAAAAATTATTCTAATATATATATATATATATTTTAAAGCTGTAAACAGTACAGCTTTATATAGGTTTTTCAAATACATAGAAAATCGTGATGTAGCTAAACAAGTAATGAAAGAACGTGGACTTAAAAAAATTAGATTAGGAATTGAAGGATATCCTACTTATAAAGAAAAAATTAAAAAAAGAGCTGGAGGGCGAGCAGATGTTATTTACAATTATGTGCAAAGACCATTTATACATATGTCTTGGGAAAAAGAAGAAGCAAAAAGTCGTCATGTAGATTTCCAGGTAATTTTTAACATTTTTTATAAAAATGTTTGTTATTTACATTAATATTAATAAAAAAAATTAGTGCCTTAAATCCAAATCAGTGACTAATTTGGCTGAAGCAACAGCAGATCCAGTTTTAGAATTAGATGCGAGGGGTAATCCTATGGGTGCTGTAGCATTAGATCCAGACATACGTGTTATGAATGATGGTTTTGATTTCGATGATGGCAATGTTGAGTCACCTCCACCAGTTAATATTTTAGAAGCTGAACATAATGATGAATCTCGTCACAACAATCATTAACTTGATATTTTAATATTTAAAATAAAAATTTCGACTATTTTCGATGTTCTTTATATTTTTATACTTTTCATCTTATAACTAAAATAAAAGAGGGTTACTTTCTGTTTTAAATTTAATCATATTAAAAAAAAAAATCTAATATTATTTGTATCAATATATGTTTATAAAAATATTATTCTTATAACTATTTTTATTCTAATACATTTTAATAATAATAAAGTATGTAAATATTAATCTTCCAAGTTATTACTTGTGAAAAAAAAAAATAGTTATATTAGTTAAAATAAAATTATATAATAAAAGTATTTTCAATAAATATTTTATTTATATTATGTAGACTGATGAAGTAATTTATTAAATGCATTATATGATGACTCGAGATCAAAAATTAACTGTCTCACTTGAGTTTCATTTAACTCATCAGATGCATTCATAGATGATAAAGAAGCAAGCCAATCAGATACTTTTTGTTTTCCTTCGAAATCTGCTGGCAGCATACTTAATCGATTCATTGTATCCATTAAATCTCTAAGATCTGGTTGAAGTTCATCCATAGCCTTAATATCTAATCTAAATTAATAAAAATAAAATGTATATATAAACCAATATAAATAATTGTTAATCATATAAAATAATATCTGATTATAGATGTCTTTAAATCTATACATATAAACCAGGGATATATAAGAGTGTGTTAGAAAGGATCTAACTTGTATTACAAAAACTTATCAATAATCAAATAACAATAATAATGACATTAGGTTGATGTAATCTGATATTAACAATCAAGTAAAACTAAATCAAAAAGTGAATAATCTGTATTATGTCTATTTTCCAAATTTTAATATAAATTAAGGCAAGGCCTTAACTTGAATATTTTTTGGAGGGTTTGAAATTTGGATACACATATAGTAGATTGGTTGATATATACAAGAATGATCGGTTTAACATATACCACTTTATAACTCTTAAAATAAATAAAATATTGTAAATTTTTTTTTGCTTTTTATAGTTATGTAATGATTGAAGGTGAGTAATGAGTGCTGCTATTTTTTTTACTAGTTATTTCCCAGTCGTACTCTTCATCCTACCTAGGTATAAAAATGACAATAACTTCTAAAGTACTGATCCAAAGGTTGTTATCAATCAATCATTTTCTTAATTAGATTATTTCTTATTTTAAAATCTAGTTAATTATGTATGTTGCCAATTAAAAAAATAAAGTTAACTCCCTTAAAAGTTATAAGGGATGATTCAAAAAGGTTATTAATAACTGATAAATCAAGAAATATATGTAACTAAAATTTTTTTCAATATTTTATTTATTTTGAGAGTAATTGAGTGGTTTGTAATAAACTAATCACTATAAATATATATATATATATATATATGTGTATAGTTTGAAAAAAATTGGTGGAGGAGTTCAAACCCCTCAGTTAACTAATTAAATTACTCTTTAAAAGAGAATATTTTTAATAGTTCATGGAGACTTCACTCAATATTTTTTTTGTTTATAATAATTTTGAGTTACCATAACATTCAGATTGTTAATATATTTTGTTGAATTAAATAATTTTCTTTTAACTTCTAGAAAGAAATTATGTTTATTAATTACTATGAGTATTAAAATAAAAAATGCATTAAATAATTGATTAATACATTAATAAATGTATTATATATGTGTATTATTTAACCTCTTTACTTTCCCAAAGTCTGATTAAGAAGTAGCTGTTAGTTAATCAAATTAATTTAATTACAAAAATAACGTTTAATCATAGACATAAATTAAAAATAAAATTTGGGAGACTAAATTGATTTTTCTCTAACAAAAAATGTTTATTAAAATAATGTCAATTTTAGGGAGTACGTCTGTCCCTTGATTTTAGCATGTAACCAATAACAAATTCTAGCATAATATGAATCTATGCAAAATATTATATTATAATTTATGATACAATTTAATAATTATATTAATAATAAAATTTCATTATAAATCAAATACAATTTTTACCATAAAATTATTTTTTTATTTAAAGATATTAATATTAATTTAAATAAAATATATCTTACCTTAATTTGTCCATAATTGTAATGAACAAGGAAACAATATCAGCAATACATTTACTTGTGTTTCCTTTATCATCTTTTATAGTAATTGGTCGATCTTCTTTGATACGTTCAAGCGCAGCTGGACAATCTAGTTTATATTTTTTAACAAATGATTCAACTGTTGGAAAATCATCACCTTGTATCTGTTTAAATGAAGCTTTGCATTGAACAAGAAGTTTACTGCAAGCAGCTGTATACTCTTTAGGCGTGACACAATCGCGAATGTAAGCTTTTTCTAAATGTTGAAGTGTATTTACTAATGCATAAAAATCTGCCATATTATCATATTTTTCACGTTCTCGAGCATTACGAAACAATCGTACTTCTTCGAGAAGTTCAGGCCTGTTGGCATCTTGTGAATCCAACATTTTAAATATATTTTTTGAAGGAGTTACTTAAACGTTGGTAAAATATTATCAATTAAAATACTTTTTTTATGATTCTATAATGTTGAAATTATAACTATGAATATAGAATTATATAGAATGTTGATCACGAATTTATTAATATTATTTCAATAAGAAATAATCCTATAAATTGTCTCCCTATCAATACGTTAATAAATTAAAACTGATAGTGAAATTCGCTACTTTATCAGATCAACAGCTGAGTTTGTATCAAATGGATTATAAATCTTAGATCATTTACACAGAATGAACCTACTCCGATATTAGTCCGCGTTACAGCGTCGTCACGAACATAGTTTAGAGTATTGTAAGAGCCTTCATGATATCTACGTATGCGCTAGACTGCTAATAACAATATACAATGTGATTTGAATTGTTTTTGTGCGTTCAAAATTTTTCAATGTATTGATTTTACTCATTTTTACGTACATTTCTATTTCTACTTATTACGTAATATATATATATATATTGTACATGACTCCAAATATATGTATCCTTTGTTTAAAATCTCCAAAGTCGCATCTTATACCATTATTACACAAGTTAGTATTAAATGTTATTTGAATCGAAATGTAAGCTATACAACTAAGTTAACACAATAATAATATGTAATAGATTTCCGTCAGATTCTGTAAGATGGAAACAATGGCTTGATATCTGTGGCTTTGTGGAGAATGAATGTAGATCTAACTGGAAATTATGTTCAGAGTATTTTAAAGATAAATATTTCATTGACGATTTAAAAAGGGTACTATGTCAAAATGTTGTTTCTACGAAAAATTTAGGAAAGGAAGTTAAAAAGAATAATAAAAAAAAAAAGTAAATAACTACATACCTATGAACTACAATAATTTATATAATACAAAATCTAAGCCATAAGAGTAGATTATACTTTTCAAGGCTGTATCTAGAACTTATTTCTGGGAGGTCCAAATATATGTATATATTGACATTTACATCTAATTGATTTTTAGAATATCTTATTAATTTGTAGTTTAGGTAAACATAACATAATAATTATGAATTTTAAATCTTTTATATCTAATCATATTAATATTCATTTTATATCTTATATTATGATATAATTTTATTATATTGTATCAATTAATAAGAATTAAATATAATAATTGTAAAATTTGGCTTAATTTAAATAATTATACATTGTTTTAATTTAAAATTCTAGAATTTCTTATGTATCTAAAGAAGAACCCGCTGGTTTAGGTCCACAATGTTCTAGTCAACTTACAGTTATTGTTGAGGTATGAAGTAGCACTGTTTTTATAAATCAAGATCATACTGAAGAAAATATAACTGACTTGCCAAGTACTTTTAAAGAAATGCAAAAAAGAAAACATTCATCTTAACCTATTGTTAATGGTAATTTAATGTTATACGCTACAATTTGTATTCAATTGTAAATTGTATAAATTACTTAAAATTTCAGAAACTCCAAAAAAGAACTAAAGGAAATATTATATTGGTGGTATTACATACCCAAATGATAATTCTATAAATAATGCTGAGAAATATTTTTTTTAGAACTAAAGTACAAATTGTTGCTTGAAGAAAAATTAGTATTCTTCATAAATATGCCAGAAGATTACAAAAAAAACTTTCCAGCTTCCAAGCTTTGTTTAAAAATTTGAGAGTAAAAAATCTTATTACTAAAGATGTTCATGCCAATTTTAATAGTAAAATACAATAAATTTGAAGTATATTTTTATGTGTAAAATTAAATTGTGTAAATTAAGTTGCTGTATGTTTTTTTTTTGTGATATTTAATATATTCTAAATTGTTGATTTAGTCGTATACCCTTTTAAAAGGTATTTTTTGTAATATTTTTTATTTTATTAATTTAATAGCTAACAATAATTAAGAATTGGAAATATTATTCAAAAATAATATTTTGCTTCATTTAAACCTTAATTTTCATTATAGTAATCTGTTTAGTTTATTAGTTAAATTAATTCAATTAGTAAAATTAATAAACTAAGTAAAAAGGTCAAAAAAATGTATTTTATATATATTTTTTTTTAGAATATTCCTGAGCATATAAAAGAATATTAAACAATTTAAGTCTATAAATGCTAAATATTCAATAGAAATTAAAAACCCTGCGTTAACATTACAATTTCATTTATACAAAGTTTATAACTACATTAGAAAAGCTTTAATAAATTTATTATCACATCCAAACACTAAAAAATGGTATTCTATTGTTCAGGTTGAACCAGGTTTTACTGTAGAGGCATTTAACGCCATTAGTTTAAGAGTCTAACAATCTATTTGTATATGTATTACTAATTTTCTATAGACTTAAATAAAATACTAGAACTATTAGTAAACGTATAATCAGAATATAAAGTTAATTAGTCTACAAGTTATCACGGTTACATTAAAAAACTGCACAAATAAATTGACCAATCACAGAACAACGTGGATGCACATATAAAATATTTTATAACAATCTATTATTTTAAGAACAATCAAATGACTAGTGTTTGAAGAACAATCCTGTATGTTAGGCTTAAATATTAAAACTTATTGAAAAATATTTTTACTATACATTTTAAATTATAAACTGTACCAGTTAAAACTAAATAGAAAATGACAATAATAAGATAACTCGGGTATTGATGTCTATAGAAATTTTAAAATAAAATATAGATGTACCAGTCAATACTCAATCCTACTTATATGATAGACTAAATTTTTAAGAACAACTATTTTATATGTTATGTTTAATGTGTACTAAAATAGCTTGTGCCAGACAGAATAAGAAAAACTATAAAGTTCAAACATCAGAATAAAAAACAATAATATTGTACCAAGTAATGACGAATTACTAATTGAGCTAGGTAGGCTCCCTTTTACCATAATACAGGACTGGAATACTAAAAATTTAAGTAAAGAGTTTAGTAACGATTTCACTCATTTTTCATATGTACTATATGGAAATCTAAGAGTTGAAAGGGGATAAATTAATTTTCTTAACCATTTCATATTAGGAAATTGAAAGAAATTTACTAAAAAAAATAATTAAATTAGACCAAACAAAAATAAAATATTGCACTTGAAAATTAGTTTATTAGAGAAAGTATACATATTCTAGACAGTTTCGTCTTTCCTGAAAAATTATTTGTTAACGTCACATTATAGTTCTTATATAGGATCTTTAGTGTAGAATAAATTAAATACCCAAAAATTAGAATATGCTTACAAATTTGATATAATTAATCTTTTCAAATGTTCAAATTATCAGATAATTAAAATTTACGTATAAATTAAAATAAGCATTTTTAATGCAAAATTAATTAAAACATCATCCTTTTAACAAAAACTTGGTTTCTTATTAAACAAACCAACAGATATATAAATAATTAAATTATTTTAAAAATAAAACTACATTAATTTTCAAATATTGAAAATTTAACGGAACTTCAGTAAATTTATTATAATTAATAATTAGCATATTATTTGTTCATAACAATAGCGTTCTGAACATCATTCCATTTGTGTTTACAAGGCGAACCAAATCCGGAAATTGTTATAATCCTGTTGGCCACACTGTTGTCATCAGGACTAGGAAGGTGTTTTTTTTTGTTTTTTTTTTTTACTATACTAATATCGCCAATCGCTACTCGCAAGTGTCGAGCATGAAACGATAAGTGGAAAATCCGTTCCGCTCGTATTTTGATGACCGCTTATTGTATTTACAGTTGTTAAGATATCCGACAATTTTATTAATTGTTCAGAATCCAGTGTTGTCGTCCGTTCGTCGTTTAATTGTATTGTCTGTCGTCGTCCATTGTACCGCGCGCGCCCGACCCAAACCACCACTGTTGTCGATGTAAACTGGCTCTATCGAAATGGGGACGTGTTGAGCTAAGTTAAAACGTCTTGGATTATCGCTAACCTTAAGTAAGTACACTGTTAATTTTGTTTAAAAGTCGATCAAGTACATCAGCTGTCAGGTATATACAATTTGATTACATATCGGACGGTTAACGATTTTTTTCTCACGTCCTTTTTCCATCAAATCAAAACGAAAACACAGGCTACTTTCGTGGCGCTATCTGCCGGCTGCCCGCGTTTCTGTTGTTATTATCTACGTTTTATTTTTCTTCTAATATTTTTTACCCCAAATTTATAAATTTATCTCTATTAAAAGAAGAATATGTTAAGCTTTTTTAATGCTGTAAGTTTATTATTCTAAAGTGTTTTGATTTTTCATGCTTTATCTGTAGATGTTTGAAAATCCATAATTTGTCTACAATGGAATGCACCAGTATCGGCATCGTTTCATATCAAATTAGTCTTTTTCATAAAATAAACACTGGTAATTAACATTTTATTTCATTTAACAGCAAGTAATTTAATTTTTAATCTTTATCCGTTGAATTGTAGGACTCTAGTTATAAATTAATCATAATGACCAAATCTAATGTTATCACCCAAAGAATACATTAACTGTACTTAGTATATGATTTAGTTTTTTTATTGTATTAATTAAAATACTTAAATTTAATGTTCATATCATCAATTTTTAGTTATTTTTTTATTATATACATATTTGTATTATATCATGTAAACAAATTACCATAATATAACAGAAAATTTTTATTATTAACTTGATCTGATTTTTAACCTAGGTATTTCTTATTTTTAAATACCTTTAGATAAAAGATAAATAGCAAAGTGTACTAAAATTATTTGCATAAATATTTTATTACTTCTAACGATTCGCCCCTCCTCAAACCAAAAGAAATTAATGAAATAGCTGGTAGAACTTTATAAAGTTCTAGTATTATAAATTTTGCAATATGATAACTATTTTTAATTTTAGTTTTTACAAGAAAAAATAGTATTAGTAAATAATAAATTATTATGTAAATTACATTAGATTATCATATAAATGTTTTATTGATTGGAGCAATCATTTAAAATTTTGATTTTCTGTTTAAATACTAATTTTTATATTTTTAGTGAATTATTGAAATAAAGGTTAAGATTACATACGGCAATATTTCTACTGGCTCTGCTATGTGGTAATTATTTTAATAAATCTACAAATTAGTAACACAATTCTGTATTAATTAGGAACCATAAGTGACAAAACATTTTATCTTTTTATTTTGTAATAGTTTATATTTTAATATTTCGATTCATTACTAACATATTTTGTGACAAGAAAATCTTGTTGTATATGATAAATTAACTAAAAATTACTTTTGTTACTTATCTATTAATGGCTCTTCAGTAAAGAGTTATTTTGAATTGATTATTCTATCAATGTGAATATAATAAAAATTATTTTTCCTCTAGGCATCAATGCTGCACAAAGTGGAGTTAAATTTTTATAATTTGCAAATTCAGCATGTCACATAGAACTAAACGTCAACCTATATCAAAAGATGATTGTCCATGTAAGTTTTTTAAAATTAATATAAGATAATAATTACATATTTTTTATTATTTAAAAATATTACTTATTTTAATTCCAATCTTTGAAGTACCGACTAAAAGGAGGAAAGGGCGCCCTTCGACGCTTCAGGAAGAAGAAGAAGCGTCCTCCATGGATACTTTAAGTGGCTTGCGATCAGATTTAAGAATACCTTCTTCCATTTATAACACTCGTATCACTACAGATGCACCAGCTGAAGTAAGTTCAAACTTATTTTTGAATTTAAAAAATCTGTACAACTATTAGTGGAACTAAACAAATTCTATCCTATAAGATATCCATTATTTTAACCTAAGCTTTTAATAAATAATTATGGATAAATAAATGGCACATACTTTTTTAATTAAAATATTTATAATATAAATTCTGAAATTATCATCAAGAAAATTTAAATAATTTTGCATAAAAAATTCAGGATATCAATTGGTTGAAACCAAAAAAATGATATGATTTATACATAACTATTATATTATATCATTATAGGGTAACTAGTAATTAAGGAAACAGATTCTTATTATTAACTTGTAAATTAATTAGTAATGTTATGTTTCCTAAGTAACTTCAGCTCTTGGGTATTAGTAAATTATGAGTTTGGAATTGTCTTGTTATATTTTAATATAACAAAATCTTTATCTATATTATTTATGAAAAATTTACTATTTATACTATTTTAATAATGATACATATATATATATATATATATATTAAAGAAATAAAAACAAATTTGCTCATTTTTTTGTCTTATTTTTCATTTGTGTTGAAATCTGTTGAAAAAAATCATTTTTTCAGCTATTTCGTAAAGACTTGATTAGTGCCATGAAGCTTCCAGATTCTGAACAGCTATCTACGGATGCTTATTGGATTATAAGTGATCAATGGAAGCAAGAATGGGAACGTGGTGTACAAGTGCCTGTTAACCCTGATTCATTACCAGGTTCTAGTGTTCACGAGGTACCAGTTGTTTGTTTGCCTTCTATTACTAAATCACCAAGAAGATCTCCTTCATCAATTTATCACGAATTCAAACTGTACGTTTTTATTTATCTATTAATTTACTACATGTTAAAATAATTTTGTATTATTTTAGTCCAAAACACAAATATATCAGAATAACTAAAGATGAACACTTTAAACCTGATGAGCACCAATTGTCTTTATTACCTTTAAAAGCTGAAAAATCATGTTCATATGATATGGATGATGTAGATACAGCATGGTTAAAATTATGCAATGGAGAACGTGCCTTAGGAGGTACATAAATAGCTATATTATAATTGGTTGCCTAATTTTTTTTTTTTTTTTACTAAATGCCAGTATGTTAATATTATTTTTTAGGTTTACCTAAAATTAAAGATGATCAATTTGAACGTGTGATAGAAGAATTAGAAATGCGTTGTTGGGAAAAAGTTCAAGCCATTATTAAAGAAGAAGAAGGATTAGGAATTGAGTATGATGAAAATGTTATTTGTGATGTTTGTCGTTCGGTAAAGACTATTTTAATTAGATGCTTTCAAATTATTAATTGTTGTAATTAAAAAGTTTCACTTATATTTTCGACATTTTTTTAAATATATGAATCAATTAATTTTTTGGTTTTAGCCTGATTCTGAAGATGGTAATGAAATGGTATTTTGTGACAATTGTAATATCTGTGTTCATCAAGCTTGTTATGGTATAACAACTATCCCATCTGGTTCATGGCTTTGTCGAACTTGTACATTACGATTTCGACCTGAATGTGTACTGTGTCCCAACAAAAATGGTGCAATGAAATGCACTCGTTCTGGGCATAAATGGGCACATGTATCATGTGCTTTATGGATACCAGAAGTTAGTATTGGTTGTGTGGAAAAAATGGAGCCAATTACAAAAATATCGAGCATACCAGTGAGTAAATTAATTAATTACGATAATACAGGTGAAATAGATCTAATTGACAATTCATATTACTTATGATCTACATAACATTTTACACTTTTTTATTTTAATCAATTTTTACACTATTGGTCTATATTTAGAATGTGTTTTATGTTATTTTTCCCAAGAAAATAATTTATTTAATAAAATTTCTTTAAGATTTGAAGATAACCATTTTATAAATAAGTTTTAAAGAAAAATGTTGATACCAAAAACTCTTATTTTAATTCAGTAGTTATGTTTCTACAGCATTTTCAAAAGTTTATTAAATTTTGAATTTTTTTACTATTTTTTCTATAGTATTAAATGTGTCAATACACGTAAGTAAAGGATTTTACTCAATTATAGAAGCTCACTTGTTACTATTTTTAATGGAAAAGATATCACATACTGTTGCCAGTAAATAAAATAAAAAGATAATATTTACTTCCGCCCTTTACATATGTAGACTAATGTTTGACATTATAATAGTTTTGGTATCAAAATTTTTCTTTAAAACTTATTTATAAAATGACTATTTTCAAATCTTAAAAAAAATTTGAAATTTAAAATTATTATAATGATAAAAAATATTTTTTGTAATTGCAAATATAACATAAAACACATTTTAAATATAGTCCTATATTGTAAAAAAGAAAATAAAGTATAAAATGTTATGTAGATCATAAAATATACGAGTTGTCCAGTTTGATCTAATCCACTCTGTATACCTGTTTTGGCTAAACAGAGTACTATTTTAAAAGTTAATAAAATTGCTTACCAATTTAATATTGAATTAATGTAAGAATCTTTTAAAGTTAATTTTGATGAATTGATTATTGTATTTATTAAGTTATTTTTTAAGTTTGCTTATTGATGCCTAATTTCAGCCAAGTCGTTGGGCTCTTATATGTGTATTATGTCGAGAACGAGTTGGTGCTTGTATACAGTGCTCAGTAAAAACTTGCAAGACTGCTTATCATGTTACTTGTGCATTTAAACATGGACTTGAAATGAGAGCTATTATTGAAGATGAAAGTGCTGAAGATGGTGTCAAACTACGTGTGAGTATTCTATAAAAATGGCTTATAAATACTACATTTTTTAATAAAATATGCTACTAGTGGTTATCATAAGATTTTTTATGAAAAATTTTCAATTTTTTCTTATAGTCTTACTGTCAAAAACATAGTGTTAATAGTAAAAAAGATAGAAACTCAGGTTCTGAAGATGAAGATTCTACTAAAAAAAAACGTAAAGATATGACATCTGAAGAAAAAAATCAAGCTAGAGCTGCAAAGTATTTAAAAAATATATATCAAAAATAAGTAACTAAAAATATTTATTTTAAATGATATTTCAGGTTACAAGAAATAGAAGGAGAATTTGAAAAGCACGTTAGTGTTAGTGATGTTACCCAATGTCATGATGTTGATAATGATGGTATCTTGTATATTTATAATTATTGGGTATTAAAAAGGAGATCTGGTCACAATCGACCTTTGCTGTTACCAAAATCAGATGATGGTGATCTTCTTGGGCGGCAACAAGAACAAGCAGATTTAGAAAAACTTAAAATGTTTGTTCAACTTAGGCAAGACTTAGAAAGGGTAAAGATTCAATATAACTATATTAGTTGTATTAGTATTTTATGTGAAGAGCTATTTTAAGATAAAATAAATTAAGTTGTAGAATAACAATGTTTTTAAGATTTAATATTGAAAAATTGCCACTTCAATTTTTACTTAAATATCTAATTTTCTATGACACTTTTAAGCTTATTATACATATTTCAAATATAGATGAAAAAAAATTATTTTTAAAGAACATTGTAAAACAAGTGTTAATAGGAAACTATTTTGGAATTTACATTGTTGAAAATTTGTATGGTTGTAATGTTTAGATTGTTTGAAATTTACAATTACATTTATTTTATATAATTTTTTTTTTTTTTTTTTAGGTACGAAACTTATGCTATATGGTTAGTAGACGAGAAAAACTTTCTCGAAATTTATTAAGTTTACGTGAGCAAACGTTCCATAAACAAGTGGCAGTTCTTTCAGATTCTAAGTTGAATCTCAGCTCAGCAGAAGTATCTGCAGTTCAAGAAGCTAACCACGGTCCTTCAATTTATGATCGACTATATTCATACCCAGATGCACCAGATTTGAGTACTGATTTTGAAACAATGCTGTCTCGTATTGCTGGAGCGGCTTCACCTGAAAAATCCAGCTTTAGTGGTTTAAAATGGCCACCAAAAGATAACCCATATAAGAAGCCATATAAAAATGGAGCAATTCGATACTCTAGTATGTCTAGTATTACAGATCTTGATATTAAAGAAACTCGCTTGCATAGTAGTGAACAGTCAAGTATGGATGAAAATAAAATAATTAAATCTGTGATGAACAAACACAAGATAAAAGAAAAGAGACTTAATAAAAAGCGTTCAAAAACAAAACTTTCAACGGATTCATCAACAGAAGAAGAAAACGATAAAGCTAAATCAAAATGGAGCACACCAAATAAGAAACTTATTCAAATTGAAAAACAATTTGGTAGTGATGATAGTGGAGATATTACCCTACCCAAAATTTCTTCCAAACGAGCTACAAAAGTTAACAATATTTATTCAGATTCTGATTCTGAATTATCCAGTAAAGAATCATATATGCGCACAAAAGCAGCTGTTAAAGAATTTTCACAAGGTAAATCTAAAAATAAAATAGTTAAAGAGAAATCTTCATCTTCAAAAACTAGAGAAACACTTCAAGAAAAAGATGTTAAAAAAACTAAAAAAGATGATATAAAAAATAATCCTACTGTGCCTTCAGAACTTATTGTTCCTCAAAGACAAGCAGCTAAAAAGGCAACTGAAAGTATACATAGAGTGCATAGCAAGCATGATGAAATTTTGGGTGATAAGAAATCTCCAGAGAGAGTTGTACCAAAATCACCTGAAAAACTTGCTTCAAAAATTAACAAAACTAAAACTATAGAGAAATTGAATTCAGTGGAAAAAGAATCAGATCCACAAGACTTATTTGGTTTTGTTCCTCAAAGACAAGCAGCTAAAAAAGCTATTCAAGGTATTAAAAGTGGTATGACTAAACCTGTTGAAGAAGCTAAAGTACCTGAACCAGTGAAAAAAGAAGAACCTACTAAATCAAGGCGGAATACTAAATCTTCTTTGTCTTCAACATCAAGTAGTAGTTCTTCTAGTAGTTCATCATCAACTTCAAGTTCATCTTCGACTTCTTCATCTTCTGGTTCATCTAGTTCTGACACTGACTCAGAACCTGAAAAGAAATCTAAATCCATAGATCGTGTAATTCCTCTTAAAGAAGTTACTAAAACAAAGAGTCCTCCTAAAACTAAAAGTTGGCTATCAGAAAATAAACCAATTAAAATTAGTTCCTCCTCTAGTAGTGAGTCTGAGAAAGATCAAAAAGTAATCAGGGCGCCAGATAAGAAGCTTAAAACTTCCGACAGGCGGCCTGAACACAGGTTTCAGGATCCGCCACTTAAGAGAGAGGAATCGAGAAGAAAATCGATTGGAAGTAATCGATGCGATACTGTTCAAATCATCACATGTAGAGATACTAGTATCGGGAATGATGGAGATAGAAAACCGAGCAATAGTGACAACGTTGGAACATCAACTAGTCAGTCGAGTGGAACTAAACTTGAAACGAAACAGCCCACACATGGAATTGAGGACAAAGAGGTTGAAAAGAAATTAAAATCTAATGATGGTGAACAAAGAATTCTTAAAGAAGATCATGGTTTAAATAAAAATATTCAAGATGTCAAAAATAAAACTCAACTTTTAGTACAACATACATCAGATAAAGAAAATAAAAAAAATGATGAATTGAATTTATATCTACCTAGCGGACATAGGTTAAATGATCTCAAAGATGAACATTTGTTGGCTGCTTCATTTTTAACCCGACAAGATATTGAAAGAGAATTGGTTAATAACTTAGATTTTGAAAATAAAAAATTTGTAAAAACACCTTTTAACAATCATTTTTCTGGAAGTCAGAGGTCAATATTTTCTCCTCAACACTGTAATAAAGATATCCCTGACTTTGATTTTGATAATGATATGTTGGCTGTTGAACAAGCAGCCAACGAAGAAGGTTTTGGATTAACACGTGATAATGATGTTAGAAATGCTCCATTATCTTTCACTTTTAATAACGAATTCTTATTCAAGGACGATTCTAAAGAAGTAACAGCTAGAGAAACATTAAATCTTGTTGAAAAATTACGTTTAGAAATAACCAAAAAATCTGTACCCATAGAAAATGAAAATTCAGAAAATATTGATATTGATGAAACATCAAAACTTATTGATCCACCTAAGCCTTCTGAACCAGATATTAAAGCAGATAGTACTTTGTTTAACACATATAATAAATTTCAACAGCAATCTAATGAAATAGTTGATATGAATAAAGTTCCAGAGCGGGACAAATTAGATAGAAGTGAAACTGCTCTTTCTGATGAACGCTGGGTTCCACCCAGTCAAAGTAGTCGGTTAGAATCTCCTTATCGAGATATCAATGATGCCAATCGATGGTCTGACAGTGTTGTATTGCCATCTAGACGTTCAGATACTTCTAATGAACCATCTCCTGAACATAGAGAAGTTTCTACTGATACTTCATTTCAGCAATCGATACATCCTTATCCTACAACAGCTCCTATGCAAATAGACTCTATATCATACTCGCAATATTCAGATCCATCATTTATTTTAAATGCTACTGCTTCCAATCAACTACCATTTATGCCACCTCGAACTTTTAATACTCAACAATTTACTTTACCTACATCATTTCCGGGACATTCTACAATTATATCAGAAATTAATAAACCATTGCATTTACAAACACCTTGTACTGCAGCATTCACTTCTTCTACTCAAAATATGGCTTTTACAGCTGCTATGATCTCTCCCATGACTCATTCAGATAATTTTATTCCACCTTTCAATGATATTAATGTTTATAATGATAATAATCTCTTAATGTGTACCAACAGTAATAATATGTCTCTTCCAACAGAAGTTCATAATGTGCTTAATGCAATTAGTCAAGCATCTAATTTGGAAAATCAAATGCCCAATACTCCTAATGTAAATGCAAAACTATCTGGTGGAATTCTAATTCCCAATAGCTCAAGTATTAGTTCTTGCATTCAAAATCAAGTTGCTGACTTTCCATCTACATCTAATCTCCAAGTACCTGTATCTTCTCTTAACCATACTGAAAGTTCTTCTTTGTCATCTATATCAATTAATCAAGAACACCCCAATCATCTTAAAAATAAAACCTGTGAAGCACCACTACCAATATCAACAACTATAGATCATCCTTCTAAATCACTTAATAATACACCCATACAAAATTTGAGCTCACCTTCCAATCAGTTGGATGATGGTAAAAATGTTAATAATCAAATACCAGTTCAAGCACCAATAAGTCTCACACAAATATCTAATCAAGTAACACCAAGTGTACCTACTCCTAAACAATCACCAGCACTTCCAACAACTCCTTTACCTGAACAATCTCCTCTATCTATACTTGCTTCATCTCCTTCAATAACTAGTTCTCCTCATCCTAATCGTACACCCTCAGGTAAAAAATCTCCGACAAAACCTACTCGAACATCAAGTCGTGTTACAGCACAATCCTATAAGTCTCCAGAAGTTATAGATCGGTCACCTGAGGTAAAAAAACATGGTAAACGTGGACCAAAAACTCAACCAAAAACATCTGGAAGAGGCCGAGGCCGTGGACGTGGACGTTCATCAAATAACCATGCTGATTACAACCCAGCAGTTAGTAAACTTGCAGGAACTGCATATGATCTTGATTTTGTTGAAGAATTTGGCAATGAAAGTAGTGTCATGGAAAATCTTCGTGCTATGCGAGAACGTAAAAAATCAGATGTAAAATCAGAAAGTAAATCACCTGTATCCCCTAAAGTTCAAAGTAGTCCTAACAATTATAGAAGAAAACATACCAGTGTAAAAGAATTAAAACCTCCTTCTCCAATTATTGAAAATAAAATGAATGATCCACCTACTCAAACTAAAATGGAAGAACTACTGCCTATGCTTCCCGGACCAGTTGATATGAGAACTTATAATTCTTACGATAATACAACTACTTATGCTGAAAGTATGTTTACAACTACCACCAATGCTGTTGAAGACAAAAGATCAAATATTGACAACACATATAAAGGAGATAAGTTACAGAGACTAGAAAGTATAAAAATGGAAGATAAAGACATTGAAGAACCCATAAAAATATCTAATATTATAGAAAAAGAATCTATCGCATCAAGTATGGTGTTACAGAATGAATCAAGGAACCAATTAAAAGTTAAAATTAAAGGACCTTTCCTAAATGCCAAGTATAATAATGTTCAAAACCAACCTATATTACCAACTATAGATACTTCAGCTATAAGTATGAGTATACCAAGTCATTCAGCTGCTCCTTCTGAATCTGCAAGTGTACCATCAAACTTTAGACAAATGAGAAAGAAAGAACTACTCAGACAATATTGTAACCAACAAGATAATATTGAACAGTCTACTAACCATCCTATTGCACCTCCCTTAAATCGAAATGTTATCACAATCCCTAAAGCAGTAGCATCTATGACTACTATTCCTACCAAAGAAGACTACAAAGCAGTAGTAGATGCTAATATGGAAAAGAAACGTATAAAATATAATTTTGATGACCCCAAATCTAATTACATTAACAACGTACGGAAAGGTGAAGCTATTACACCTAAGCTTAAAATTAAAATTGGTGGTGAACAACCTATGGTAACAACAATGGAAGAAAAACGCAGTCTTCGACCACCGAAAAAACGAATTTGTGATTCTCAAAATGATGAGTCTAATCATCTTATAGCTCCAACAATGGAACAACTGAGACGTGACAGTATGAAGTACAGACGCAAAGTATTTGCTAGATTTGAAGAAGATGACGCACTAGCATCAACATCTTCGGTTATTACACCTACTAGTTCTAAAAGTAAAAAGAAACGAAAGTCAAGCCCATCAACATCAAGAAAAAAGAAACCACGTTCCAATAAAGAGATATCGCAGGTTCAGGTAATTGAAGCAAAAGAAAGCACACCAAAGCTGATAATTAGGTTTTCAAAAACTGCTCCCGACACTGAAAATGAAGTGAGTGAAACGTTAGAGCCTCAAAAAACCTCCCCAATTAAACTAAAATTATCGAGGTGTAAAGAAGGGTATGTAATGAAACCTCCTAGTAGTCAATCCTCCACCGATACTTCATTAAATAATAACTGTGAAGTTCGGTGACGACTGTAAAAAGAGTTATTAAATAAAATTCAAATATATTATTTTCGTTAGATCAATTTTATCATCGATATATGTTTTGTGTAAAAAATAAAATAGATTTTTATTTATTTATTTTTAGTGTAAACATTTAAATTTATTTAAAAAAATAATTTTAATTCTATATATAAATGTATGTTTATAATAATTAAATTGTTATTTTCCTCAGTTTTGTTAAATTAACTAATAATAAAACAAATATTCTACAAATACTCCAAATTATAATATAATTGTGTTAAGGCCAGCAGATGTCAATTAATTTTAATTTTGTTATCTAGTTTAAGTTAAGATAATTTTGTGTTAATGTGCAATATGCAAATGTAAAGTATTTTTATTTTTTTTTTTAAATTATTTGTTGACCTTTTCATTAAAATCGAACAATTTTTCTTTTTTGTACTTGTTATATTACCAATTATTTTTAAAGTTTACGTTATTATAAGCCTTGGGTTGTTTTTTAGCTGTGATTGTTTTAATTTGTTTTTGAAGGTATAACAAAAATGATTCTGAAAAAAATGCTTGTAATAGGTAGATTTTAATTATCCTATATTCTTCTCACATGTTGCTTTTTTATACTTAATTATTATAGTCAAAACACAGATTTAGAATTAAGTACATTTAATACTATTGACTAATTGTCAAATTTTAAAGATCTCAATTTTCACTTTTGCTAGACTTTAAGATTTTGTAATAGAATCTAAATAATAAAAATTTATTTTGATAGGGCTATTTTGTTAAAAACGGAAGTTTTAAACTATTGGTAGAGTACAATATTCGATTTTAATTTGTAAATGTTTGTCCTTTGATACATATTTGTTTATGTACAAATTTTAATTATGTATACACAATTTAAAAAAAGCGTTTTGATTCTAAATAATTAATTGAAGTCTATATTTTAATTAAAATAATAGACAATCGTAAAAAATTAAGGAGGACACACATTGTTGTTAAAAATTGTCATAAATACATTTTTTTTTATAATGTTTTATTTCTATGTTAGCTCAAATACCACAGCAAGAAAATAAAATATTGTCTTCTATGTAAATATGTGTATATTTAAAAATAATTGTTTTCCTCTGTGAATCTTCTCTTTTAAATAATTTGTTATATATTTTGTAAAATTTTCTTATTCCATTATCGTGTATATTTAAAGAATATGTACAGTTCATCTTAATATACATAATTAACCAATGTGTTATAAGTTTCTATTGAATAACTAAATACACGTAAAATAATTTTTTAGTTTTTTTTAACTGTATTTATATTTACATTCTGTATATAAATTATTGTTTCGGTTTTTAATTATTGTCTGTAGATAATTATACTTATTTATATTTATTTGTATATAAATAATTTTAAGAATAAAATAATATACCATGATAACAAATGTATTTGTTTATTATTTTATTTGAATTAGTAAACCTATATCTCTATAAAATCTTGTATAAAAGTTGACTAAAGATGTTAGCATAGTTTACATGTAGGTTTAAGCTTAAAAAGACATATTTGTTGTGTCTCACAAATAAATTGAATTTTTATTGAAGAAGAGTTAACATGATAGAGAATCGCCAGTTTTATTTACAGGTTAATTGAATTAAGTATAGGAATTTTATTATATCTGTGTCCCGGTGATAATGGTTACTATGACCAATTTTTATGAATTAGAGTTAGACTTTATCTTTATTTTTTTCATTAATAAGTTATACCTTAAAAACGTATAAGAGGTATACAAAGTTGTCCCAACTCTAAAAATATTGGGAAGAGTTAAAAACTTATTTTTGCTATCTGATTTTTTTTTATAATTTTTTTGTTTGGATCCTTTTGTGTGATTATACTGAAAATTTTCTGATTTAAACAATTAAATATAGTGTAGTGGAGTAGGATTATACTACTACGCCTTCTCTCGAGACACTGAGTTTTATGGATTTTATTAAAACTATGAGTATCAAATTATTACTTGTTTTGGGATCAAGTAATAAATTCTATTCGATGAAGAATGTTTTAATTATTCTAATATTCAAGTTTTTATTTTTTTTTATCATTTAGTGATAAAAATTTATAAATTTCTTAAAATTTATAAAAAAAAATGTTATATGTAACTTTTTTACCCCTCCTGAAAAATACAGAAATGGACAATAACCGTTTTTGTCCTATAACCTTTTATTTTTTATCGTAATTATAGTTATTAAACTATGATTTATTTAATAGTATATGTATATATTTTATAATTATACAATACTTGTATTACTTTTTTTTAATGTTAATTGCTGATTAATTTTTGTATTTTATATTTTATCCGTATTTGATATTTATAATTTTTTTTTTAATTTAGAAACAATTTTTGGTGAGGGAGTATAATTTTTCAGCCTAGTGTCGCGCTAAATATCATTGACGCCCTAAGGCAATCATAATGTGGTCCCGTATTTAATATATTTTCAAACATGGCCCTGCTTTACCCCCTTCCTAGATAGGCCACAGTGAAAAGGTTATCAAAATATTTGAATTATAATTCTCTCCAGAAAAAATTATGGTTGTATCAATGAAATGATATTGAGAACACGTTTTGGTTTTATCTCTTGTCTGAGGGGAGTATAAACCGAGAAATCCCTTTTTTACGTAAATACGCCTTCATTAATGGTAGAAGTATCTGCTTAGTGGATATTTAAAGTATAACAGGAATTAGTTATTTTTAAGTTGAATCGAATTATTTTTATAAATGTTTTTATTATTTTATTTAATTAAAGCAATGGTTTTAAAAAATATTTGATAGCACATTTCATTAAAATATAATACTATTATTTGTAAGTTATACAAAGCAGTCTTAGATCTAATGTTCCCGAAAAATGATGAATATTCAAAAAAAATTGATAGAGATTTTACATTTTTGATAACCTAAAATCAAAGACTTTATGAAATTATAGTTTGTCCCAAAATTCAAGATGCATCGACGACAGTTTGCTCTACTGATTCAAATGATTACAAACTTTTTCTGTTAGTACTGTCTAGTGTTAAAAATATCAAACAAACTATTATTTTTCGTATGAAATTAATTTTTTACATTATAGTTTAATACAATATAGGAACAATATTTTATTAAATTAATGGATTATGAATTAAACATTACCATAATATTTAATTGTTGATATGACTTTTAAATAAAATAATACACCATAAATATTAGTTTAATAAATTATTGAAATAGTGATCAAAATATTTTATTAGATGTAATGATTATTTTGAAATGTATTCTTAAAGTATACATTCCTATTCAAATATAAATTTAATTTGTTTTTGTATTTTAGAATAAATAGTTAATGAACATAAGATTAGAAAATATTATTCAATAATGGTGTATAATGTAATAGCAGCTATATCAAAAAATGGTGGCATTGGATATAAAGGTGATTTGCCTTGGCGTTTGAAAAATGAAATGAATTATTTTAATAAAATGACTACTCAAGTAAAATCAACAGATAAAAAAAATGCTGTTATAATGGGTCGCCTTACTTGGCAATCAATACCTGATAAATTCAGACCTTTAAAAGACCGTTTGAATGTAGTCATCTCTAAAACTTTACATTCTGTACCTGAAGGAGTACTTTTGTATCCAGAATTGTATAAAGCTGTTGAAGACCTTAGCTTAAAAGAAAATATTGAAAAAATTTGGGTAATTGGAGGATCCTTTTTATATAATGAAGCAATAAAAGATGAAAATTGTAAAAATTTGTATATTACAAAAATTGATCAAGAATTCACTTGTGATACCTTCTTTCCTACTATTGATCCAAAGTTATTCATTGAAATAGATGATCCTGAGGTATCTAAAGGAAATATGAATGAAAACGGGATTACTTATGAATTTAAAGTATATAAAAGAAAATGATGCTCAATTTAAATTTAAGTAAATAATTTATTTATCATTCTTTAATTTATGTTTGTATATATATATAAAATTTTTATAATTTTTTTCTTTTTATTAAAATTTTAATAATTAATTCCAAATAGATATTTTTTTGTTTATATGTTTATTTTTTATATAATGGATCATTATTTCTATGAATTTTTTTTTAAGAATATTTAGCAATGTGAATATAAATTAAAAAATAAGTTCTTTGTATTTTCAATCTTATTTAACCATTTATCATTTAAAATTATAAATACTAATTAGTTACAATAAAACTTAACAAATTATCAGAATACATGGTTATTATTTGTTACCTAAAATATACTTAATAAATTTAGTTGAATAATAAATTGTGGAATAAAAGGAAATATTGAATGTTTCTCAACAAATTATTCATTGAACTGTTACTGTTATAAAAACATAATTTTATAAACTTAGTAATGGGGCAGTTATAAAAAGTCTAAATGATTAATGTTAGTTAAATTGTGTTTCAATGCAGATTAGTAATTTAAAAATTCATAGAACGTTACTTTTATTATATCTAAACATTAACATCTTAAACAAAACAAGTCACATTTTTATGAAATTTGATATTGAAATCAAGAGGTGTTTTGAATAAATTATTATTAATGAATAACATTTGTCCATATTAAATGTTACCAAATTGATAATCTGATTATACAAGGTATTAAGATAATATCTATATACTAGGCTTCGTCCCACACCAGGGGCCCTACGAGCCTCACGAGTCTTCGGCGCGTAAGCCTCTTTGGGCCATCCTCGTAAGTATAATCCCGGTAGGAGTACCCGACTACGCCGGGCATAATGAGCGTTTTGCAGGAAAAATATTAGATTAGAATCAGTGTAACAAAAATTTAATCATTAAAATAAGAAAAATTGAAAATGTATTGGATATAAGGTTGACGTTTGTTAATGTAGTATTCCCCTTAGGCATATTCAGAAATTATTTTAGGAGAGTATATAATATTTTTTTACTTTGTGAAACATTCTATAGAATGTTTTTTGCTAAATTAAAGTGATTATCAACAAAAAGGTCATTAGGTTCTTATTAGAAGTTGCATATAAAAATATTGATAACGTTAGTTCAAGGGGGGCAATCGCCCTTATCCCCCTTAAATACATACAAGTTATTAATATTCTAGTTATAATAATTGTATTTATATTATAGAATAATTACAAAAAAATCGACAGGTTATTTACCAGGGACTATGTAAAATATTTAATTTTGATAAAAATATTGGTAACTGAATTGACGTTGGACAGAATAGTTTTCATAGATGGGGGATCCCAATTTTTACGATAAACTCATACATCATATATGAAATAAATTGGATTATTAATACTGTACTGTTATGATAATGAATGTACAAACTTATATACTTATAACCGTCCTGAAATTTATATATAACATTCCTTGCAAATATATACAAAATATAGTGCTATGCGCAAATTTAAAATAGTATCCTAATATAAACTCTGCGTGGATAAAAAAAAATACAATTCAACAGTAAACTAATTATTAAGCAACAGTTCAAACAAAATATATATATAACAATAAACACGATTAAATATATCAACAAATTTGTATTATAAACATAATTAAAAGAAATCGACAGAAAGTATCTTCTTAATAAAAGTAAGCATACTTTTAATAAACTAAACATAATATATAAAAATAACAAACATATTATCAAAAAAAAAAAAAAGATAGCTATAACAATCAATTCATATATGACAACAATAACATTTATTAATATTAAATTCATATTTTATAAATTAAGGGTCACAATAAACATATGCGCAGAAATGAGTCAATGCGCGTGGATTTATGATATCTCAGAAATGTCATTAGGCGGATCTGGTAAAAATTTCAAACCTTAAGTCGTAAAACGTTGCGAACGTTTTTTTCGTAAACGGTCGCAGTCGAGCGTCAAAAATGTTCCGACCTTTGCCAATAATTTTCGCGGTGACAAAGTATTTTCGTTGAAAAAAACAATTTTGAAAATCCGATCACGCTAAGTAATTTTTCCAAATGGCTTTTTACTTGTTCTATTACACAATGAGATAACGTTATTGCTTATACACATAAAATCCTATAAAAATAATAACTTAATCGATATTATACTTTTCCCGCCATTTATTCTCTATTCATAATAAAATTTCTGTTATCATAAACTATGAACATATTATTCTGTGACTTGCCTTACAACTATTATTTTGAAAACAGTAATATGAGATAATTTAAACAATAAGATTTCCAAATTTATTTAATTAAAAAAAAATCATACTATAAATTTTGTTTAATTAGTGAACAATTAAACAAAAGTTAAAAATTTTAAGTTAATAAAAATGAATTCATCAATATTCAGTAAGTTAATATATTATTTTAGACTAACAGCTAGTATTTATATAATTGTCCATCTGAATTACTTTATATTAAACTATAATGGGTGTCCCACTCTGATTTATTAGTTTATATAGTTAAATCAGTAAATCATGGTGAGACATTCTGTATATAAATTAGATATATCTTCTAAAATTCTAAACAAATTTTTAAGAATTTTTTGTGCTTTAGTATTATTTAAAATGTAGTTTCCATGTTAGTTAGGATTAAATTTTTGATAATTACTGAAGAATAGTTAAGAGTTGGTATTTTTTATTATTAAGACTATTAGAAAAGTGTCCATATATTTTTGTTCTGTATAATTATGAGATTATAATTTCAGTGTAATGTTAGAAATTTTCCAGTTTCATGCTTACTGAATAAAAAGTTTTTTTTTCAAATTTATTTTGTTAATACAATTATGTATGTATAATTATCATTTTTAAAACAAAATGTTAAATGTAAGATATCTAAAGCTTTTGACGAGGATGTAAGACACAGGATTAAGTGCGGGTGGTTGAAGTAGAGAGAAGCGTCTGGTGTCTTATGCGATAAAAGAATTTCAATGAGGCTGAAAAGTAAATTCTACAAGACTGTAATAAGGCCAGCTATGATGTATGGTTCAGAGTATTGGGTGGTTGATAAGAAAGTAGAGCAGAGAATGAGTGTAGCAGAGATGAGAATGCTTAGATGGATGAGTGGGGTGACTAGGGAAGATTGAATGATGAACAAACATATAAGAGGAAGTATAGGTGTAGCGTCAATCGTGTACAAGATAAGAGAAAATAGACTTAGATGGTTTGGTCATGTTATGAGGGGAGAAGAATCAGAAGCTGTAAAAACAGTTATAGAAATGAATGTTGAAGGAAAAAGTGGTAGAGGAAGACCAAAGAAGAGATGGAGGGATGTTATTGAATGCGATATGAAGACAGCTGATGTGGGATATCGTGTCAAGTGGAAGTTAAGAATAAGGGTAGCCGACCCCAAATAGTTGGGATTAAGGCAAGGAAAAAGAAGAAGAAGAAATTAATTTTGATAAATATTCACACATTGTTTGTACATTTTTCAGCTTCAAGTGAATTGATAGATGCAAGTGATGTTGTTGATATTTTAACTCGACTTCAGTTATCGGTTTTTCCTCAAGAATATGTGGAACAAGTTTTAAGTAGTAACTATAATTATTACCAATTCCCCGATTCTTATGAAATGGTTGTCATGCCCGACATTGATTTTCCAGCCATTATGACTGATGCTTGTGAATTATTAAGTTCTTCATTTTTACAAGAACCATCAAAGCATGTATTATGGGATAGGTTTATCGAAGAAGAAATTCATCCAAAATCTTTAAGTTGTTTGTTGAATTGTTATATTCAAAATGGCATAAAGGAATTAAAAGAGCCTTCTTACAGAAAAAATGCTTTACTAGCTTCACGATTATTTTTTTTAGCATCTTGTTTCAAAGGGAGTAAAAATATTGGGTTTTATCATATATGCTTATTGACCAAAAGTTCTGAATTGATTCGTACTTGTATTGCTATGTTTCATGGTTATGGTCGTATATCAACCAATGAGAATTCAGAATCTTCTGAATTACAAGAAGATGAAAAATTAGATTTGATGACCAATATTTTAGCTATTGTAAAAGATTTAGAAATTATGGTTAAACGTTTCCAGTTTTTTGATGAAGTAACTTCTTTGAGTTCAGTTATAGATATTATGGTAGATGTCACACGTTTGGAAAGAACCACTGGAAGTATATTTGAACATGTACCAACAAATGATTTAAGTTATGGTACATTAGCTTTTAATGCATATACAGTTTTGATTTCTATGTTTAATGACAATTGTGGTTCTACTATTAATGTTGGTAAACAAATGATGCATCTCATTTTACCAGGACTATTAGTTGATGAACAAAGAGAAATGCAATTGACAACTAAGCAATTTAATGCTATACGTGATCATCACTTATCATTTATTAAAAAAATAACAAAAAAATTGGGGACATTATTTGAGCCTATTCTAGAAATATTATTACAACATTTGTTACATCGTGGACCAGATCGTAGTGAACTAAAACCTAGGCAATCTCAAATTATATTAGAAGTATGGAGAATATGTTCTAGTAATGTACGTATTAAAATGAAATATTATTTACTATGTTTGGCTTATGATGTGGATGCTAAAGTACGAGCTGTTGCACTGGAAACATTGTTTAAACTGTTATCTGAACCTGAAGAAACTGAATCTGAAGATCCAGATCTAAAACATTTAATGCCTGCTACAAAACATGAATTTATTTTAGCTGTTATTTTATCTAGATTTCAAGATCCTTTATTGACAGTAAGGGCTAAAGCATTTTCATTAATAGCCACAATGACTGCTGGTCCACCTACTGCTTCTACTCATCAAACCAATCTAATCAAAAAGGTGCTTGTTGATCCCTATCATAATGTTGAAAATTTAGATCAAACATCGTTTTGTAAAAGAGATTTTCATGAGTTTTATTATTATCTTAAAAATAATATGGAGGATTTTGATTCTAATAATATTAAAAATTCTACTATTTATCCAGGAGCAAAAATATTGCTATGGGTGTTAAATGTTCATGCTCGTGATGAAAGAGCACATATCCGACGTTTGAGTTTGACACTTCTGTGTAATTTATTTCTTATTAATAAAAAATTTATGGAAAAATTCTATTTATCATTATTGCTTGATAGTTGTTCTGATTGTTCAATGACTATAAGAAAGGTAGTTGTTACGGGGTTAACTGACTTAATATTAGCTTATCCAGAAAATGAAAATGTACTTAAACATTGGTTCAAAGGATTAATTCATTTAGTGGGAGATCGAGATAAAAAAATTCAAGATTTAGCTGTTGAATGTATGGATAAAGTTATTTTGCAAAATATTAAACCCTATTCAGCTAAAGTAATTGATAGTCAAAATCCATTAGATAATTTACCTTGGAAAATTGTAGATTATGCTATGAATGAAAAAGTTGGCAAATATATGTTGTGCTTAAGTGAAAAATGGAAAATGAATGGGTTATTGACAGATTATAATGTTAAAACTATTATGTCTTATGTAGGTTCTCCAAATCACGAATGGACTATACATTGTTTGTATTTATTACAGCTAATATCCCATCAGTTGACCATTACAAACATGAATCCTGTTGTGCGTTACTTTGAAGTTCAATCTGAAAACTGGTTTTTCAATAATGCAGATCCTGCTGAATTAAACTGTTTGTTAACTGATGCTCAAATGACCTTAGATATAATGTCATTAAACCATAAACGGTTGGATAAAGATACAAGGAATAATCTTTTAAATAAATTTGAAAAATTATTATTTAATTTTCTCGTGCCAACACGTTTAATATCTAAATCACTTGATATTCTTACAGTCTTACTTATGGACAAACCTGAGAATTTAGAAAAATTTATGAATGATCTGTTCAAAAAAATTTGTAATTTTCTAGAATCTTCCACACATGTAGACAATGAAGAAATTTTTATACGATATATGTGTACTCTTGGTGATATTGGTCTAGCACAATATTTGAAAATTAATCGTAAATTACAACAATATCTTCTAGCCTTTTTAAGAAATACTGAAAATTCTATTTCTCCCGCATTTAAAGCAATTATTGTTTTAACTATTGGTAAATTAAGTATTGTTGATGAACGATTTGCTAAAGAAGCGATAGTTGAGTTTGGATTAATCTTAAAAACTGCATGTCATCCATCAATCAAAATCAATGCACTAACAGCTTTATCAGACTTATGCTTGAGATGTACAACATTAGTAGAGCAAGCTATACCAGAAATGTGTGTCTGTTTAAAAGCTGATAGTATACCAGTAAAACGTGTTGCTCTTAAACTTCTTACAGGACTTATACTTGAAGATTATATTAAATTAAGAGATGTTGCTTTTTTTGCATTACTTTGTATGCTTGAAGATCCAGACTGGCAAGTACGCCAAGAAACTTCCTCATTTATTGTCAACTACCTACTTATTAAAAATAAAGATATCATGGAGAGAAAGCTAATTGAAGTAATTTTTCATTTTAATGGTTACACTGGAGAACGAGCTGGTGGTCTTGAAGATTGTTTTACAAGCCCTGAACTAAGAGCATTTTTTTCAATGGAAGGAGAGTCAAAAAAAGCTTCTCGTCATTGTGTTTATAGATTTATGTTAACCCATATGTTGGATGATTCTAAACTTAAGCTTATGGTTAAAATTTGTAAAAATATATTAGAAGAGGCAGCTCGTGAGACTAACGTAAATGAATTTAATTCTGAAGATGATAAAGAACGAGCTACTCAAGTTTTAAAGGATGCATTTTGGATTTTAAAAGCAAAAGAGATGGCATTAACTTCTGGAAGACCTCGTGATAGTGGTAATGATGATGATCCTGGTACACTTGAAAAAGTAGCTGATCTTGCCAAAAAGCAGCTAGTTATGGAGACATATAAAATGGTTATTATAGATTATGTTGTTCCTGCTGTATTAAAATTGAAATATGAATTAGATAAAAGTAAAAAGTTTCGACCAACAGTGATGAATGATTTGCGAGCATTCTTGTGTTGCTTAACTTCAGGAAGATCTCCAATTAAAAATGATGTTGTCAAATTACTATCTGCTGATGGAGATCTTGCTACAGAAGTTTTATTTGATGTAAAACAACAACAAAAACAACAAAATGCTAATGGGGAAAATGTAGAATTCGAGAATGAGTCTGAAGATGAAGATGATGATGAACCAGATTTATTAATACAAGATTTGGAATATGTAACTTGGGCACAAATAATGGATATGCGTGATAAAGCTGAAGAATCTGGTATAGATCAAGCTGTACAACATCAATTAGCTGAAGAGTTACAACAACAAGTTTCTCAAATAGTTGAAGAAAATAATTCAGAAGAAGCAGTTGTAGCTAATGTAAGTCATGTGACTGGAGAAGCAACTGGATCAATTAATTTGAAAAGAAAAATTTCAAGGAGTAGTATAAACCAGTCTTGTAGGAATACAAAAGAAGAAACTAAATTACATAAAAGCGATTCCTCGATATTAAATCATGATGCATCATTAAAGAAAACGGATCCAGAAAATAATGATTTACCTTTTTATAAAAAATGTTCATGAAAATGATAAAAAAAATTTTAGTGTATAACATCTTGAAAATAAACCATTTCAGTCTTATTTTAGAAGAGAAATCTATGTATTATATTGTTTTGTTCTAAAAAGTATATATAAGTATTTAAAATTGAATGTGTCTTTTTATAAATGTTTTAAAAATAAATAACGTAATTTTTATATTTTAATTTTTACCTATTAGTTCTATAGATTTATTTGTCTTAAATAAGAAATATATAATTTTTTTTATTTAAAATAGTCACTTTCCTTACAATAACGTTAATGGAATGATAATAACTTTAAGATAAGTACTTACTGAGTTACAAGATTTTAATACATTGAATGGGTGGTAAATATTGCTAGTAAGTACAGCTCGTATTTGTATTAAATTTAAATATGAAGCTGTAGTGCATCATAAAATTACAAATATATTGACTGTTTACACACTAATTGGCGTAAGCAAAATTTTATCAAAAATATTCAGAGTTAGTTGACTTGCAGTATTCATAAATCATTTATATTTTTAGTAAAAAATATAATACATTTATTTTTAACATAATTGTTATGCTTACTACTACACTTCTAATTAGCCTATAAAAATTTGATATCCTGGTTAACAAAAGATAAATTTTCTTTTAAATTATTTATTGTTTAACCTTAAAAAATATGTATTATTTATGTATTTCATAATTATAAATTTTGTTTAACTTGATTATTAGGGATTAATAGAAATGGTCAGAATAAATTAGAAAACATGAAAAAGAATAATGTAGAAATTGAATCTACAAAATAGTGGTAAGCATTATAAAAACTTGGAAATAATCCATCTTAGACTTTCATGATTTTTTAATTTATTTTAGAATCCATTAAGCATAAGGTTGATAGAAAAATTCAATATCATAGTTTAATTGACCATACATTTAAGGGTTATAAAGTCTTACAAATTATCTTGATATTTTGATTTGAATACAATTTTAATTTTATATTTAATGTATTTAAAGACTAGAGAAGTGTTCTATTTATGTACATTTACACTGAATGTATATGCTTAGTTTTGAATTTACAATATCACAAAAATTACTGGATCTGTAAATATACATTTATATTAATTCTTACATTGCCACATTATCATAAAAATAACAATTTGTTAGGTATAAAAAACAATAGGCATTATATCACTGAATGTTTCTGACAATTTTGTAACAGAAAAACAATTAGAGTGGTAGGTAAAATACAAAATTATTACTGTTTATAAAACAATTTGTTCATTAAAACTGAAAACAGTAATATTGACATACTCAAAATTTGAATTTTACTATTAATCATCTCCATCTGAATTAACATCATAGCTAGAATTACTAGAAGGAGTCGTTCTCGAATCATTTGAACTAGAACTGCTAATACTACTATTAATGGATCCTTGATCACCTCTGTCGTCATCTTCATCATCATCTTCGTCTTCGCCGCGATCATCTAATAAATCTTCTAGTAATGAAGGAAATACTGTTTTAAAAAAAAAAAAAAAAAATTACTTAATTTTCATGTATATTTTTTAAAAGTTTAAATTACAACATTTAGAACATATAGAACAATTTTTAAATTACAGAATATAAAATTTAATTTTTTTTGCAAGAATTTCCAATTTTTCTTTAGAGATCTGTTATATAAGCAGTATAATATTATTAGGTATAAATCATAGATAATGTGAACAAGCATTTGATTTTGACAATTTAAATAGGTAGTCAGCTTAAGTTTTGTTTTAAATTTAAATATATTTCTATACTCTTTGCTTTATTCAATGTAAATTAGCTAGCTCAATCCATAGAATTAGAAAAGGATAACATAAACATATCAAAATTAAAAATATCTAGATATTTTATTTATATATTATATGGCAACAGTTACTCTAATTTTAATTATCTTAAGACAATACTTACAAGACATATTTTCATCATCAGATCCGGAACCTTCACTTTCAACTTCATCTTCATCTTCTTCTTCCATCTAAAATAAAGTTAAACAAATTTCGTAATATTTAATTTTATTAAATAAAAAAGTGAACTTACAGTTTCATCTTCTGCTCTTGATCTTCCAACATCATAAATGCGTACAATCGATTCATCAATGTTTTCATATATACCTTGGTTTTCTACAATAGCTATTTGAGTATCATATTTATTACAAGCCATATGATAAATATACTTTTTAACATCAACAGTAGCTGTTAAAATAAAAAAATTAATGTTTTAATAGTTAATTATTTATAAAGAGTTCTTAATAATAATATATATTTAGTTACCAATATTAGTATAATCATAAGGGTCAAGAGTTTTGAATGATGTTTGATAAGATGAATCATCATCAACTTCTTGATCAATAACATAAACATACATTCCTTCTCCGGTTTTAGAGAAAGTAACATTACATTGATCAAGACTTGATACAGTGCGTAATAACTGAAATGTACGCATATCCCAAACTTCAGTATTGGAAATAATCTATAAATTAAAATATGCAAGAAATAGTATAAAAAAAATTACAAAATTTAATATACTTTCTACCTTGAAGAAAAATTTTTTCTAAAAGAAAAAAAAATATATATAACTAATAATACCTCTTTATAAAAACTTTCAATCATTTTAATTAAATGAAAGTTTGTTTTATTTGATTAGTTTTATCTACCAATAAGGCTTAGACATAGATTATTAGCCTACTTTATAAGTTAAAATTGTTTTACTTTATATTGTTAATCATTGATTTAACATATACAAGATGAGTCACCAAGGTATAATTCCAATCCAATCATTTTTGATCCAATTATCATTTCGTAAATTCTTTAAAAAATAACTAAAAAAATTAATTCTTTTCTTTTTATTGTGATCAATAATAAAAATATACTTTAAATGTAGTCTAAGAAGATAATATTTACTTAAATTTTTTTTTTAACAAAATGATAATTATATCAAAAGTAACTTGATTTATCATATTGATTGTTTGCAGGCTAATTGATGTAAGTGACATTGTACCAAAAATGTTCAGACTTCTTTGGTTTAAAGTATCCATAAGTTATTTTCATGTTTATAGGAAAAATAAAATGTGAATGAAAAAATTGCTTACACTAATTAGCCTGAAAATAGTTGATGTTTCTTTCTTTCTTCACCTCTTTATTATATTATAAAAATTTGAATACATTTTTATGATATAAAAAAAAATTTTCAAGACAACAGTTTTATTAAACATTTTTACCTCTAATCCATTTGGATGGAAAATACCACTAACATTTTGATTTAACTTGTCAAATTTATGAATTTCTTTACCAGAAGTTGCATCCCACAGTACACCATCAGAGAGCACAAGTTCATTTGTCGAATCAAATGCTGCTCTATTTCTACTATATTGGTTAGAATGTTTGGGATTTAATGTTATCAGTTTTTTACTTGTTTCAACATCATATATCTAAAATAAATTTTTAAGTAATAAATATGTTATAATTATTTGTTAATATATATAATATACCGATGCTATTTCTCCTTTAGTACCAAGAATTTTATTTTGATAATAGTTACTAAAAGTACAGTACTCCTCATCATCTAATGAATATCTAAAAAGAAAAAAAATATTCAAGTATGTTAAATATTTAATATGAAGAATATGGTTTACTTAAGTGTAATTGATTGATTGTCAATAGACCATAAGGTGGTTAGAGGAGGTCTCCATGAAGCTGATGATAGTAATAGTCTCTCATCATTACTTCTTTCTAAATTAACAATATAGGAATCATGTGCAGTAAATGTTAATTCTTCTTGTCCAGTAAACAAATTATAAACTTTTATTTCTCCATTATAAGTTCCAACTGCAAGTCTTTTTTGTGTCTGATATGAATAAAAAATGAAGAAGTTAAAATTTTTCAAAGATTTATTTAAATATATACAAATTACCAAAAATTCACAACAAGTAAAATATCCTTCATCATCATCAATACGGAACATTCGAGTAGGACAAAATCGACTATGTATTAATCTTTGATCTAATTTTCTGGAATGAATGTTTTTAGAAAATCGCATTGCAAAATTTGTACACATTAAATTCCTGGGTTTGGGATCTGGACACTTATGTGGTCTAAATATATTTTAACGTAAAATAAAATATAAATATTTTTGTTATAAATGTATAAAATAATTTTAGTTAAATCTGTTCTATAAATTAAAAAAAAGTTATAAAACTTACACAAATAAATTAAATTGAGGACATGTTACCATTGGATGTTTACATGATGCATGTTGATTAGTCAAGTACTCAGTAATAATTGATTCTAGACTAACTGTCATATTATTATCAGAAGGAGGAATAATATCTTGATCTATTTTTTTATGAATTGATTTTGACATTGGCGATTCAAATTCAGGTTCGGTTTCTGTTTTGGTTCGAGAATCTAAGCGTCTTCAATTAAGATAAAAAATTTGATTGAGATCATAATATATAATGATACAAAAAAAAAAATATATATATATATATGTATATATATATACAGTTTACCTATTAACATTTAAACGTATAGGTGAAGATGAATTCACACCTCGAACACTAAAACCAGCACCCAGAGGACCACTTGAAGGATTAGCTAAATCAGATTTTTGGTTATGATTATGTCTAGGATTAATTGGAGAGAGCGCACCAATTGATCGACTCTAATAATCAAAAATTAAATTAATTAAAATATAGAAAAATTATTTTACAGAATTTAACAGCATAGAAAATTTATATTGATAAAACTGAATTTTGAAATCATGATGGTTTTTTTTTTCTATAAAAAAAAAACATTGTACTAACATTGTTCCTATAAAAATTCATTATATAGTAAATAGAGCCTAATTTGATGAGTGGTCTCAGTGCAAATTTTCTTATCATATTAATATTAAATATTTGCCAAAGGACATAACATATCTAAATGGGGTTCTATAAGTATAAGTAATCTAAACAATATGTGCTTTTGAAGCTAACTTACTCGACATTGTGCAATATATTTAAATGGTTCCAATAATGTACTTGATTTTTTTTCTTCTATATTGATATTAGCTTCTTGGACTAGAGATTCAGCAGTCTTGGTTAATCCTTTGGACATAAGATGTTGATACATAAGGTGAAGCAGTTGATGTTCATTAAAATGAATTTTCGTTTGAGCAACAATATTTGCCTAATTTTTTAATAACAGTTATTTTCATTAAAAAAAAAATTTTGCAATTGACTCACCCTATTTATATTTGCTAAAGATGCTTCTATTTCCGCTCCATTTGTCTTACTCTTTCCCGAAACTAACTCCATTAATTCAAGAGCATATTTCTGAAATGTCACATGTTCTTGTCGCCTATCCTGAAGTACTGGATTTTTCATAAGATCTAAAATTAATAATTTTTTGATGTTATAATTTCAGCAAAAAAATAAAGAAAATAATATTTTATAATATACTTTGCAATTGACCACTATTAAATAATGGTAGCTTGCTGATTATTTGGCGAACTGACTCACTACGTGCTAATCCAGCTAAAGCACGACTCGCTAAGCCTCTAATTGCATCAACCTCATAAATTGGTGTTTTGATAGTCATTAATGTCAGCAATACCTACAATTAACAGAAATAGATAAAAAGACTATAAATTATAAAATTCAAATATCATTCATTTCTTTTAAATTCTATGGATTTAAAAAAATTATTTAACAATTTTTTCATTATCAAATAATGTGATCTGTGACATAGGTCCAATAAATGACAATTTAAGCTTATTACTTTAACTACAATATCACTCAATTATAGAAAATAAATCTTTACTTAAATAAATTATAATAGATATATTTACCATAATGCCATTATTATTTCTAATACAATCCCAAACCTTTTCTATCACTATATCGTCATTGGTTTTAGGCGTTTTTTTTTTGGCTGATCCATGAGTTGAGTAATATGCAATTGTACCCCCATCCTAAAAAAATTAAAATTATACTTGCAATATGGTTAATTGATGTCAAAACCTACCCTGTGTATTGGAGCACATGCACATGTAATAATAACTGAAAGTGCAGCTTTCTGTACATCAGCATCTGAAGGATCTCCTTCAGCTGCTTTTAAAATAATATTTAAACCAACTTCTTCATTCTCAGCTTGAGAATCTTCAGTCATATTTATATCAACTTGAGAATTTTCTCCTGGAATCTTGGGGGCTGGTTCACACAGTGCTAATTGGACTTTTGGTAACACTGCACAAATATTTATAACTTCAAGAGCACTTTTAACCATTTCAAACCTGCAATATTTATAAATTAGGATTTAATTTATATTCAATCAATAATAATAATAAAAAAAAATAGATAAAAATATTTTACTCATGCCTGCCAGTAAAACTCCAATCATGTGACATATTAATAACTTGTAATAGTATATTTATGCCACCTAATTTCATCAAATTATCTACAGGGGTCCAATGACTTTTCATAGATACAGTATTAGACAATAATTCAATTTCTTCTTGAATTTCACCAGATGATTTTTTATTGGACTAAAAGAATATTTTTTTGTTTTATTGATGTACAAATTAAATTTATTCTAATTACTTTATAACCAGGAATTGCTGTATGATGGACAACCGTAGATGAATTTAATAATCCTGAATCTCTCATTTTAGCTCTACGTATTTGTTGTGCTTTTATATGAAGATGAGCTTCAAAGTATCTCTTCAGAGCAACACATACATGACGAATAATTTGTCTGGCTGAGCATTCAGCATCTTCAGTCAATGAGCTAAATGCTGGTTCTTCGGCAGAAAGAATTGGTAACATGCTTACCTATAGGTAAAAAGATTATGTTTAATTTTATAACATTTAATAATACATTATGGATAATATAAGGCTTTGTTTTAATTCAATATTATGTTTTGTTTTTTCCAATTTATAGCTCGATAAAAAATTAGAGGAATTTTATGAATTTATATATATATATATGATTCTCTCATTATTAATCATGATAATCATGAAAACAATTTAACTTTTATAAATACAATTTTTATAACTTTTAAGCCACTTTTCAAATTTCTATTTACAATTAACCTGACACCTGTTATATTGAAATTTATTCTTTTAAACATACCACATTAATAAGTTTTCGTAATCCATCTTGGCTATCAAATATTTCTAGAATAACTCTAAATTGAAAGCTATAACTAAAAAACATTGTAGCATGACATCGGCTTGAATCATGTGAACATTCTAACATCCATAAAGCATATCTAAAAATTTATTCAATCAATGTTCATACCAGCAAATACTTGTATTTTACCATGAAATAATATTTTAGATTTATTTCTGAAACATAAATAAAATAAAATGTCTTACTTTACAAGATCAACAAGTATATGTTCAGGTAATAGGCATATTCTTTCCATAGCATCTTCACAGTATGATAAATAATAAAAGCAAATAGAAACACCAGTAGCTGGGATACTGGGTCTAGGAATTTGAAGTAATTTCTAAAAAAAAATACAATTGAGACTTGATAAGAAATAATTGGAGCATATAATTTAAGTGATTATACCTGTAATCCTTGAAGGTTAACAAATTCTGTAGCAAATTTTTTATGACAAAGAAGAGCAGCTAAATATTTTAGTGCCTCAAAAGTCAAATAACCATTTTGTCTGTCAGCTGTATTTATGAGTTTCATAACTAGCGTCAAAGCATTTTTTTCAAATGCATGACTTAAAAACTATAAGATAATAGAAATTAATTATAGCATTAACACATTAAAAGTAATCACACTTGTATAAGACATACCTCTTGATATTCACCTGTTGGAGTCAAATATTTGAGAATGAAAACTTGTTTGGTAATTAATGTTGGTGGATAAATTTGTATCCAATTACTAGCATATGGTTCTGTAATCCAAGATGAGTTACTATCCCCACACATACTATTTTCTTCTTAAAAATTATTATAATTTATTATAAATTTAATAAAAGAAAGTTTTTAATTAAACATGTAATGTTTCTTATAAGTGATAATATTTTTTTTTATATTAAATAAGTTATTTATGTTAAAAAAAACATATTAACAAAAGTAACATACTATATTCTATGGATGTATCATCTGAAATATTCTTAGAATATTGATTTGAATCACTAATTATTCCATCTAATAACTCCATGTTTAGATTACTAGTTGATTTATATCGCACTAAAAACAAAATTAAAAAAAAAAACAAATTTTATTTAAAAATTTGCTTAAATTTATTTAAATTAAATATATTGGGCACTATCAAGTATTTAGGCAATTACATTTGATAAATCAATAACTTAAAATTGATTTTTATTGTATGTTTCAGTTGAAAAATATAGTGAAAAACATTAAATAATAATATAATACTATAAAAAATATATTATTTATTAACTATAAAATTGTTACACAAAAGTAATAACCTTTTTTCCTAGGTGATTGTTTAATGACAGTATTATCACATTTAGATGAATCATTGTTTAAATGAGCAAATGGTTTTGTATTTTCATTCATTTCATTTTCTTCATAAAATTGAGAATATAATGATTGAAGACGGTCTAACATAATAGGTACTAGTTTATTATTTGATTCTCTATAAAAAATAAATAAAATAATAGAATATATTACAAGAAGAATTCTTATTAAAAAAATTAATTCAGAAAATAATACCTGAAGCTAGCAGCTATTTCTTGTATTTCCATAGCTGAAGCTAATAAACCAGTAGCATACGTTTGTAAAGGTTCTGCACTTTGTTCTGCCCAAGAAAAAAGTCTTTTGATAAGTAATTCATTTGTAGGCTACAATATATAAAAATCAATTTTAATCTATTTGTGTACTAATATTTATACATAAATGACATATTAAGTGTTGGTTAAAAAAATTTATAACTTTAGAATTATAAATACTGTTTGAATATTCAAATAATTTTGTTATTGTTAAATTCAAAAACTTCCTGTAAAATTTTTAGATGTTGACATTACCTCATAAAACTTTCTATATCATTTTTGCCTAACTCAAATTAGAAATTATTAGTAGTCATGTAATAGATTAATTTTTTTACTTACAGTTTCAAAAACAACAGTAGTTTCTAATCCTGGCAAAATGTTATTCATCAGTCTACATGCTACAATATTTAAATCCCTATTATCTTTAGGTCGCCGTGGCCAAAAATTTTCTTTTAAATAATCATTCACTAGCTACAAAAAGAAATATAAATCATTAGTATTAAGTAAATATGAAAGCTAAAATTGAAATAAACATTTTAAATAATTCATTATCTATATGTGTGAATTGGCTTTTTCAGAATAAATGTTAACATTCATACCATTGTCATAAAATTATCTTTGCGAAACAAAATTTTAAACATTTGACCAAGTGCACAAGTAGGATCAACTCGTGATGGGTGACGGTCATCAAAAGGATCAGGATCTTTTTTAATATAATTAACTGTTTCTGCTTCTATCATTTCAGACAACCTTGAAAAAAAATCAAAATATATTTGTCTTGAATTATATATTTCGAAAAAATATAATTAAAAATCATTTCTATCTTTTAAGAATTATATATTTTTGACAAAAAATGTGATACAGGAAATAATATTTTTAATAGATTGTAAAATTGTTTAAAAAATAGAAAATATATTACTTGACTAATGTTGGAATAGGATTGTAAGCAGGTCCTTGTAAATCCTCTTCCCATTTTCTGAGAGTATTTGTCAGTTCACTGACATTTTGATCCATTATAAATAAGACTTGTTGTTAAATATCCAGAGATAGTAATTTAAATAAAAAGTAAATTCGGTTAATAATTTGAAAATGTTATCTAAAATAATTTTAAAACAATTGAGAAAAATTGAATAAATAAAATTGTACTGTGTGTAAATAAAAAATACTTACTATAAATTTAATAGAAATATTTAAAAAAAAATTCTAAAACTTCAAAAATGATATACATAATATAACATAGTAGCTATCAACGTTTAATTCTCACGTCTTCATATTACTATGCTACACATTTAGCATGATTTTAAAAGTATTGGAGGTTATGTCATGATTCGGATTATTCATTGATAGCGCTGCTCTCTCTGAGACAAAATAAACACAAATAAACGAGCACAAAAACTACCTATTGGGATGATAAACAGTAAACTTACTTCATAGCGTACACATTTCACTAACCATGAATGTCTTAATTTATCTTAATATATTTTTCTGATTTAATTGGAGATACTGTTTATTTTTAAAAATTGTATTACCCATATCGGAACAAGTTTACCTGTTATTTGTGAATACATCTTGTACATTTTGTATTATAGTGGTGTAATTGTTGAATATAACGATTTAATTATCAAGTTAGTATCCATTAGTTCTAATTCTTATAAAAAACTTACATTATTTCATAAGTATATTCCGTCAAATCTTGGATAATTTAGTGTTTTTATTTAACAAATATATTTTAGATACATAGAATTTATTATATCATAATGTTGATATTCATTTCCCTTTACAGTTTATTCTTATAAATCCGAGGTCACACATTTCATTTAAAATATTAGATTTCAAATATATTAATAATTTTCCATTTGTGTAAAATATTAAAAAATTATATTATTATTAGTTTTTTTTTTACAATATACAAGGTAAGTATTTTAATGCTAACCGAACAATTTCTTTTAAAATACTCTTTATAATAGTTAAATGAGTCCAATTTTTATTTTTATTTTTCATTTAAACTAAATAGAATATTCTTATTTAAAGATAAGCACCAATTACTTTTTTTGTTAAATTATTTTATTATTAATTCTCATTACTCAAATTGGATTTTTTTCTTATAAAGCCCTATAATTTAAAGTATAATAAATATACTTTTAATTTAAAAAAAGTTATGTTTAGTCATCATTAAATTTATTAAAATTAGTTATCTTTGTTCAGTAATGGCAGACCAAGCACAAACTGAAAATAAAAGTGTAGAATTCTGTAAACCAAAGGTAATCATGACTAATATTAATAAAAATTAAAACTTTTCATTACGATTAAGTATTTAATGTAGGATCCTAAAGATGTTGAAAAAGCTCAGGAAGAAACTATGAAAAAACAATATCAAATGAAATCCAATTGGCCTCCTGTTAGTGGTCATTCAGCATTATTACAAAAACGTCTTGCAAAAGGGGTATTTAGTATTTTATTATTATTTTTAGAATAAATAAATAAAGTAACAATGTGTTAGAGATTATTATTGTATTTACAGTTAAACAGTATGATTAGAGACAGTCTTTTGGGGATGTGATGGTATAAATAATAAAATAAAAATAGAAATTTTATTAGCAATATGGAATATTTTTTCATAAAATAAATTACTTTATACTATTGCAAGTAGGATTTCAAATTAAACTGTTAAATTTAATTTAAAAACAATTTTCTAGTACCATTCATATTTTTTTTGTTTTATATACCAGATTATGAACTTTTTAAAGTATATGTTTCTATAGTATTATTATTTATAAATGTTTTTTGATATTAAAATTCAAATGTTTTTTTTTGATAAATAAATGTAATTATTTGTTTATTAGCAAAAATTTTTTGACTCTGGTGATTATCAAATGGCAAGACAAGTTGGTTCTGGAAGTAAAATACCGAATCGTCCTGTACAACAAGTTTTAGGGTTTGGCACTGGTGATGCTATACCAACACCAGATACTGTACCAGCTCGAAAAACTTCTATTATTCAACCTAAATTTAATACTAGTAGTACTCCATCATCTACTTCGTGATTATAATTTTTATATAAATTTATTAATTATTATTTCAATCAAATTTCATTCATTTTAATTTATTGTGAAAATCGATACAATAGATTTAACAAGACATGGCCATTTAGTTAAACTATTTTGATATTGTATTGTTAATGTAATTTTGTGTATTAATTTCTTTATTTAAAACTTGTGTATTACAAATTGAAAAATTAATGTCATACAGTACAGAAAAATATTATTTAGAATGTATAAAAAAAATTTTGATTTTATAAATTACTACATGAAGTTTTATAACCTAAATATCAATTGAACTCTGTTATTAATAGTCTTATTTGATTTTTTATAAAAAACATAAACTATTTTTAATTTAAATTTTAAGTTTACTATTGATGAAACAATAGAAAATTTACAATGTTAAAATTTAAAAATTATAGTGATGTAATAAAATTATTATAAATATTTATTTAATATTTAATACTAGTGTATTTTTGATAAATGTTATACAATTGTCAATATTATTTTTATCTTATATAGTATGGTGAGTTGCCTCATTTATTGAACTTTTATTTTAATCTTCTATAACTATCTTAATTTTATAACCTTTGTGTACTTAGCCCATATAATTAATTAATTAATTAAAACCTCTTTAAGAGAACACAATTATCATGTCTAACATGGCTATACTGTGTAAATTTGAATTACTATTTACAAGAAATCAGTTATGAAGAATATTTTAAACATCTAAATGAAAAAAATTAAGCTAATAAAAAATATACTACAATTGTACACGTTTTATTTTAAAATTTGAATTCTTGTTTAATTTTTTGATTAATATTATTCCATAGCATATCAAAATTCTTGAATTTCTATATTAAGTGACTCTTGTTTTTGTAAAATTCTAGACAAAATTTATTTTTCTGTAAAAAATTTTAATGAACACAAAAACTTGCTATTATGCAAGGGATCAATTATGGAATAGACCTATCTACTTTTGCAGAAATGTGTATTTTGGGGTATGTCTATAACATGTTTATACCCATACATTTTCATTTATAAAGTGAAAATGTATATTCTTTTTTATTAATATTTAAAATTTTTTAAATATTCCTTTTTAGTAAAACGTATATGATCAATGATAATCATTGATCTCAAGTTTCAATAACTGATATAGAAATTATGCAGTTCAAGATTTGAGAGGAATTAAATATATTCACTCATGTATAATAAAAACTAATACTTGAATACAGAGTGATCAGTTTATCTTAAATCACTTAATTATTTGTAAAACTAATAAGATATTGAAAAAATTTTTTGATTTTTTTAGTTAAATATATTTCTTGTTTTATCAGCTATTAATTACATTTTAGAATCATCTCTTATAACTTATAGGTGTGTCAACATTATTTTTCAAATGACAATGTATATATTAAGCTAGCTACTTAAATAGATTATGTAGTAATTAAGAAAATGACGGGTCAATAACAAATTTTAGATCAGTATTTCAGATGTAATGAAATGATGATTTTAAAAAGTAATCAATAACCGATAAATTAAAAAATAAATATAACTAAAAAAAAAACCAAACTTTTTTGTCAAATGTATTTATTTTACAAGTATTTGAGTGGTTTAAGATATACCATTTATTCTAACATAACTTAAGTTACTTAATTAGATTGATGTTTTAGCCAGAATTTAGAAAAATGTTTATATATATATATATACTCAAAAAAAAAAAAAAAATTCTCATTAATTAACTAATAAAAATATTAAAACCAATAAGTTCGTTTTTGAAACTAAAATAATATTTTATGAATTTTTTTTTTAACAAGTGATTTATCAAAAAATAATATTAAAAAGTTGCTCATGAAAATGCTTCATACTTGTTTATGATTGTAAAAAGAAGAATTGATCAACACATTATAACCATATAAGTTTTTGCAACAATATTTGATATGATCCAAAAAATAATCAATGTATAGTTTTAGTTTCTGTTCTTTTTCAATAATGTGGTTCAAATATTTTTATAAAAATATTTCAGTTTTATTATTTCATTAAATATGAACTTCAAAATTTTAAGGACTAGTAATGTATCAAAAGGAAAGAAAAAATATTAACAGTTTCAATTTGTTTATTGATTTAATAATATATTACCTAAAAAAAAAAAAATTTATTTTGACAGAAGATTTTTCAACCGTTTATATTACTAATTAGTGATCATATTAAATTGTATTCTTATGTTTCTATTCTTCTTCTTCTTCTACCTTTGGGAATTTAGTATTATAAAAGGGTACATATTGTAACACTAATTTCCAATCTGTGAAATAACATAGCATAGTAAATCCAGTGACTCCATAAAAACCAGCACTTGGAATACTAAAAAAAAAGTTTATCAACAACACACTTAGATTAGGGTATCAAAATTATTATCTTATTAACAAAAAAAATATCTTAAGAAAGAAAAAATTAAAGTGCAACAACAAAACATGTAAATAATATACAAAATAAATTTTTGTTTAAATAGATCTAGATAAAACGATAAACAAGTAATAGTTGGACATTAAATATTTATTACATTAATAATGTTAAGTAGATAATAATACATAATATAATTTATTACTAAACAAAATTAATCTTCTTTTACATATAATACATAAATTGTTAAGTTAACGAAAATTGTTTTGATTTTATTTAGTAAGAATTATGAGTTAAAGATTATTTGACCTTTATCATTTAATATTTTATTAAAACTTACTATTGGGCTGTTTGGGAAATATACTTCCTGCCGATTAATTTAGATACTAAACTCATGATGATGTCGGTATAAGTGAAAAATATCTCTACGTTTTAAAATTTAAGATAAAACTAAAAATGAAGAAATCAAATTGACTGTAATCTCAATAAAATGACTAATCTAGATCGCAAGGATGTGACTTTTTATTGATAAGAAAAAATAAAACTAACGTTAGTGAAAACAGCTGATTTTGAAATAAAATCTTAAAATAACTTATTTAGCAGAAATTTCATTTAAAATAAAGCAAAAACATGTATTTTCTACAGTAATTTAAATTTTCTTAAAAATCACATAAGTTTTGTGAAAAAAATAAAAATACATAAATAAATATATTGTGCAAATAGTTTGGTTTTGTTCGTTAATAAAATGAACTAAAATCGCTTTTGAATAATTCGACTTAACAGAACTCCTTTCCAAATTCCAATGAATTAAGAAAAAGAATAGCTTTTGGCTTACGAAAAAAGAGATAAATATTATAAGTTACATAGGATGTTATAGAATTTTTTATTACCATCACATTTAACCTCACTAAAAATTTAGCACTATAATAAATATTGTTATATGCTATTTACATATACAAAGTGGAACAGATCTAACTGATAACTCATATAACTTATGATCTACATTACATATACTTTTTTTTTAATCAATTTTTACAATATAGAACTATATTTAAAATATGTTTTATGTTATTTTTCGCAATTAAAAAAAATATTTTAAAAATTAATTTTTTTTTAAGATTTGAAGTTAGCCATTCTATAAGTAAGTTTTAAACAAAAATGTCGATACCAAAAACTCTTATTTTAATTCAGTAGTTTATACAGCATTTTGAAATTTGTTAAATTTTGATTTTTTATACAATTTTCCTATAGGAATCAAATATTATTATACCATATGTGGTATCAAATGTTAGACCATACTCTGTTATGTACAAAAGTAAACACTTTTTACGTTATTTACTAGTAACAGTACGCGATTTCTTGTAATGCAGATCATAAGTTATATGAGTTGTTAGTTAGATAAGTTCCACTCTGTGTATACTTTATTTTATATGATAGATTGTGATAATATTTGAGCAAAATTTTATTTGTTATATTTGTGTATTAAAAACACCAAACAAATTTTAAAAATGCCAGAACTTCTTAAAAAAAATATATATATATTTTTGGTTACTATTAAATATTAATAGTTTATAAATAAATGAGTAATAACAAAACGAAATTTCTGTAGTTTTCAAATAATTAAAAAAAGATTTAAATTCAAAAATGTTTTTTATTTGATTTATCTAAATTAAACATATATGAATTTTCATACTCATTCAATAACATTATTATTTTATGTTAACAGTGGCGTGCCAAGGAATTTTAAATGGGGAGTGATGTCATAACTAATAGGTATTAATACATCTAAATACATTTAATGGGGGTGAAAGAATTAGAAAAAGATTAACAAGGGGGCTTTAGAGATGAAGCCTCATTAAAATATTTATTAATATTTTGTGTTTTGTATGATATGATGTAATGTTGTTTACAAATATACAATGTAATAATTACAACTTTATTCAATTATTGCTGTTAAATACTTGATGCTAGAAAAAAAAACACAATGGGGAGGTATATGACCCCTATTCTCTCCCCTGGGCATGCTACTGTATGTTAATGTATACCTATTAATTTAGATTTAAGAGAATATTACCGTACTTGATCATATAATACTTTTAATTTGAGCCAAAAGATTTCTTTTAGGTTGACATTCTTCGTAAGTATGGTCGGGTTTCTCTCATTACATATGGATTACTTATGTAAGGCAATACAAATTTAGTTGTCTATTAAGTGAATATAAGAAGGGCTATTCTACCAGAAATTTCAACGAGGCCTTCAGATTTTATTTAATTTTAAATGAAAATTGTAACTATCTTGTTGAAAGCTCAATTTTACGTTTTTCACGCATTATTAATTAGGCAATGAATAAAGAATCACTTTGATCTCGATTATAAAAAGATATAATCCTGCATTTAAAGTGTAAATAGAAAAAGTAAAAAGTCATGAATTAAAATAAAAATTTGTCTTTATTAATAGTTAAAAAGAGTTTCTTAATTCTTCTATAACAAAAAAAAAAAATAAATAAAAAAAATTAGCACTTAGGAAAATTGAATTTTTATGCAATATAATTATTTATTTTTCATAAAAAAAAATTAAAAATAACTAGTGAATAATTTAATTAAACGATTAACTTTTTGAAGTTTCACAATACTCGGCGCGTGCTTTTGAAAGAGATCGTAAGGAGCCCCTTACTTCTTAAAATTAATTTCTGGCTGCGGCACTGTAACATTGAGAACATAGTACGCTTACTGTAAATAAACACTTGCAGGGTAAAATTGGAAACAATTGTCAGACGTGTAATTAAGGTCTCGTACTGGTCGACTAAACATCAATGCTGCGTAACGGCGGCGAGTGCCAGGTGATGTCGCTCTTTTCTTTTTTATTTTGCTGCTCCAAAATATTATTTTTTTTATGATTATTTTTACAATCATTATTGTTTACAAAATACACCTGGATCCGGAACAATAGCCTGTTAATACAGCGGGAAAACTTTATGGCCAATATAAAGTGATAAAATTACTCGGTTATGTCGCATGATATTTATTTTAACTAATTATTCACTATTTATCAACATTAACAGCACAAAAATAAATTATACAACTTAATATAATACATACCAATCCATAGAGTTTGCGTAAACTTATATAAGAAACATATGATAGTATTATTTTATTTGTCAGTATAGTGTTATAATAATTGAGTCGTCCAGTTGCAATTGGACGACAATTAAAATGTCAGTGATGTTTATATTTTGTTTTCAAATTAAACTTACTTGTTTTTCGATGAACGTAACCACTTTTTTCACAACGGAATAGATGAGTAAGTGAGTTATAGATGTATTTATCGACAAAAAATTCTTTCAACAAAACGTTATTAATTTTATATTGTTGTAACATGAAAAATAGTAATAGTATGTAATTGTATATTACAAATGTGACTCGTAGTATAAATTTTTCTTTTATAAGAATAATATTTTAATGTAAGGACATTATCATTCTAATCGATATCGTTAAAGGGACGATAGTAATCGTCTAATAATTATAAAGTAAAATGTTATAGCGATGAATATAGCCGCCTAGTAGTTTTAGTGTGTGAAAATTCAATATTGACATAGTAATGTCAGAAAGCGAGCATAACATATGACTTGACCCGTTACGATTGTGATTATCGACAAACGCGTGGCCACACCAATCATGTCATTTCGAAGAATTTGCTTAACTGTTAGCAACGGTCCAAACGGTAACACTAGTGTCTTAAGAGAATTTTATTTCTGTTGAATTCCTTGTACCGATTTCCTTATTTCTGTTCATTAATCGTTATACCAACGACGTTGTCTGCAGTCAAATAATAGCGGAAACCTTCTGAATCCCTGGTACCAGATTTTAAATTTTTTTTCTTCCTGTCGCGTTACAAACCGTTCTAGAAAATTCATGAAAGTTATTTTGCCTATACAAAACGCCTGATCACAATTATTAATATACGTTATACTCAGGTAAATATTTAAAGACAATAATGTTTGACGGTATCGATTAATTTTTCATTACAGTAAAATTCCAAACCTGTGTAATGCTAAGTTCTTCAAATGTTTAGTTAGAAAGTAAGTATAGAAATAAATAAAATTTTTTTTTTTTTAATAGAAAACTACTTTATTGAGAATTTTTGTTTTATTGAAAGCAAAAATATAACGCATTACATGTATATTAATATAAAACTTTTAAATGAAAAGTCATATATAAGATTACTTTTTTTACTCTTCTCAGCTATTCTAACCTTTCTTTACTGTTGATAACCAAAATTTTCTTTTTTTTTTTATAAGTATTTTACATTTCTAAACGGAGAAAATAATACATTTCTTCTCCTTGGACCTTTTCTTTGCTCAGCTATTTGTGGACAGCTAAATTAAGTTAGTTTAGTAAAAAATGTTTTTAGCAAGCTTACGGTTGATGAACTAAATGCCTAAAACTTTCTTTAGTTAAGATTTTTTGAGATAACATTTTTGAAAATATGATGGATGAAGCCCATTGTAAAAAAATTGGAATATTACTAAAAAGGACAGCACATTCTCATTAATAACACCCTAGAAGATGCCCATCAACAATAGGCTTCCGAATTAAAAATTCAAATTCTAATCTAGTTTTAATATCAATGAAATTCAATCTCAGAATGCCTTAGATTACGTTTAAATGTAATCAGACAGAACTGTTAAAAATTATAAAGGTGTATAGTTTATACTTGATACATGTCATACATCTTACAGGGAAAATCATTATGTAGCCGTTACAAATAAAAATTATCCACTATATAGTCTAATACAGTCTGGGGGTGGCAAAGGGTTGTCGGAGTTGTAAGACCACATGCGTTTGACGACTTGGTGGGGGTGTTGCGAACCCTGTTCCGGGCCGCTAAACCTAAAATGCATCACAGAACGTTTGGAAGTCGCGTGCGGCTGTTCCCTAGTGTAAAATATTTCGTAGGGCGGTACCGAATAGATGAACACAGTTTAATAACGGACAATTTTTGAATTTCATCTCACATTTCTCTAGTTATTTTCAAAACGAATACACGTATCATTAAACAGTAGACAAAAAAACAGACACTTTGCATATGAAAGTTTAGTTCGAAGCTATGTGCCTGTCAGTGAAGGTTTCCGTGTTTATCATTAGGGTGTGAAAAAATCGCTTCTCGGGTGCGAATTAAATGTTTAACTTGTGTAAGTATATATAAACATTATATTAAGTACACCATAAAAATTCATATTATTATTTTCGTTACTACTCTTTGTTGGCATCGACTTAAGAATAGCATGACATGTTTTTTCATAAATCGATGAAAAATTGGAAACATTTTTTTTTTTAATATTTGATTTTGTATCAAAGATGAGTAAGAGTACATTTATTACAGTAATTATCATATTACACAATAGCACAGAGTTCTTTTATTAACAATTTCACAGCAACAAAATGAAAACTCAAGCCCGTTGTAAACCATACTTGCTCAAGTCGAATTCAGGTCGTTATCCGTCATGTTCTAATTCATATTACAGTAATTAAATTCAAAATAGGAAAAAATTATTATATATTTTGTGTTATTAGTTAATTAAAATTATGTAAGTAAATAATCTTGTTAGTAACGGTAAATTTAGATAACAAAAAAAGACAGCGCACAATGCTAGAGTTTACCAATTTGCTACAATTATTACAATAATATATAAGTAACATTCAAGAAATGAATATTACTGACAATGGGCGGCATGGTCCCCTAGATCTTCTGGCTATGCCACTGTTTTTAAGTAATCATAAAATTGAATTTATGTAGGGTTGATAGAATGTCAATTAACTGGTCCAAATTTGATCAATTAACCATAGTGATTTTGACCGATCATAATCTGATTAAAATAAAAAATAAAAATTTTGCATCTAATATTAAATAAAAAAATTTTATTTTTTTTTATTCTTTTCTAAGACGGAAACTAATGCGTTAAAAAGTTGGAAGTTAAGATAGTTTAACGTTTTATCTTAACTAGATAAATTACTAAGTAACTTTGGTTTTATTTTTTAAATAAATTAAGTTATTATTCAGAAATTGTGATTAATAACCTAATTAATATAGTATTTAAATAAAATAAAATTTTCCTGAGGAATTTAAAATAATGAAAAAAATACATGAATTTGTGCCAAACGTAGTGATATTGGACTGTCTATGTCTTGAACAGCAATAATAGAGTTATGTGGCTTTTAAGTTTTTTTTGTAATAATATAAAATGTAAAAAAATAGATTTTCTGTTATTGCTTTATGGTAGATGGTTGAAGTTTATACTTATTTTTGGGGAAAAATTACCTTTTTTGTAGAACAGTAAAAATGTCTATTAACTAATTTAGCTTAGGTTAAAACGTTTTTATTACTTTTTAAAATAAATAGTAACTCAGTTTACTATTTAAGATTAGTTCTTATAATTTATAACTTAACTTTATAAGTTAGAAAAATTGATTAACTTCCAAACCTAAATTTTAAATAAAATAAAACTAATAGTTTGATTAATTGTGGCGTAAAACAAAAAACTATTTTTTTCTCTATGTAAACCTAATTTATTTTAATCGAAAGTCATTTTTAACACCAGCGTTAAAAACCATGTGCAAAACAATTTTACAGAACTTTAAAAAGAAGCATCTTTTTTTATTTAGTCATTTATTTAATTTGCGGAGTCTCGCGCGAGGACACACTTGCATGCCTTATGCACTATTATAAAAAATTGATTCGTTGCAAATATTCTTCTAATTCCTTTTTAAAATTAATTTCATAAGAATAATTTAAGTATTTAATAACTCCTCTCAACATAAATTTTTTTTTTTATAAAATTTAGTGTTATTTTCAAAACAATTTAAATAGAATGGCGTTTAAAATATTCTACATTATATATCGAGAGATTTGATTCAACTTTGCACAATATTTAGATGTTAAATGAATTTCGACATGTGTGCTGTTATTTTACAAATAAAAATGTTTGTATATTTTTGCATATATATAGTAGAAAATGTAAAATACAGAATGTATTTAAAATGAGTCCAATGAATCAATTGCATTAGCCCGAAGATTTCCAAAATCATTTTGGGATTCTAGAAATACATTTTACGAGTTTTATCGTGAACAATATTGATACCTTTATTAGTTAAAAATAATTTGATTTTTTACAGACTTTATAATGTCAAAAGTTTTTCGTAATGTGTAATGTATAATAATAATGGCTTACTTAATTATTTATTTCTATGTTTTAATTATTACTAAAATATTTATGAATTATTCTTTTGTAAGTAGTTAAATAAATAGATTAAAAATTCGTTCATATTTTTTATTATAATAGAGAAAACATTAATATTATTAAGTGAAATAATTTTTATAATTATTGCTAAGTAGACAAAAATATTTCTACACTAGGATATTAAATGAATATATTCTATTCTATAAGTAGACTACTTTTAATTTTTAGAAATGTAATAACTAATCTTAATAACGTTTTTGTTTCTATGATATACACAGGAATATTGTCAGTAATACTTATTTCAACATTATAACGGAATATATTTTATTATAAAACATAAATCTTACACGAAATAAACTTTTTAAAAATTTTTCATTATTGAAGAACCGTTTCAATAAACAAAAGTCAATTATGTTAATGGAAAATAATTAAAGTTAAATATGTTTACCATTAAAATTGATACTTACAAGTATCGATTTTAAGAAAAATAAATTATAGCTGAAAAAACATAGAATTTTGTACGCAGAAGACATGTGAATTATTTAGTTTTTTGCCGTTTGATGAAACTGAAATTATTTTATCAGATAAATAAAGTCGCAATACATTTTTTGCTGTTGCGTTTTGTGGTTTTAAATTGATGTAAATTACCCTTTTTCGGTCCCTGGCGAGTTAATGTGAAAATAGATATAAATCTGTTAATTTTGATGCCGCGTTTGTAGTTTGACCAACGACGGTCATAATGGTCGTTTATCGATCCGTAGGTGGTCAGCGAAAGGGTCAAGGGGGACCACCTACCTTATGCGTAGATATTGTATCCCTTTAGGTAGAGGTCGATGTCCATTGAAACAGAGCAGCGGCCATTTCATACTGAATATTACATAAGGCAAATGAAATAAGTTCATTGTGCACAACAATTTTCGATAGGTGTGCTTTATGCTTCTCACATGCTGTTAATGTTTCAACAATGTTTGCGCGAGTACTTTTATGTACAACATAAAATTTAGATTATGTAAATATATACTGAATTTTTCACATTATAATATACAAGCGTGTGTATCAAACTGTCCAACAAAATGTTTTTTTAAATAATTCAACTTAACCAAAGATTTTTCAAGTAGCTTTAATCAAATTTAAATTAGAGTACACCTACCAAATAAGAGTAATTGTTTATAAATAACGTTACTAGGTTTTATTATTTTTTTTTATCGTACGATTCAGTTAATAAATGGGGGTAATAAACTCTACACATAAAATAATATCAATAACATAAGCCATTGTAAATAGTCAATTATCACAGGACATAAAATGTAATTTATTTATTTTATCCTGATGTTATTAAATAATATCCATTATATGACGTGAAACATTAATATACTTTATTGACAAATTTAAACAAAAATATTGGGCGAGTTATTTTGTCATATTCTTAATTTAGTTCAAATTTATAGTACTTTAATCTAAAATCAAATCTATAATCTACTTCAAAGGTTTGATGTAATTCTGTGAAACACATTTTTTACAGAAATTATCTAGTTTTATTAAGAATATCGTATATGTGTAGCTAAATTGCATACTCTGAGCGCCTTTCAATAACTGTAATAAAAGACAACATTAGCCATTTTCGTTTTTAAAATTTTAACTTCGTTTTTATTTACATTCTTATATTTAATTATTATCTTTTAACTTGAAAATTATTTTTTTCTTAGAATATAAATTCGATATATTCCAATGCGTGAGCAATTTTAGAGAGAAACTATTAATTTAGTTATTAGATTAACTGTATGGTTTTTATTTATATTTGTGTTACGACATCCAAGATATTTATAAAAAAATCCAATGAGGGTTATTCTTTTCTAAAGAAATTTTTCACAATTAACAGATCGTATGTTTTTAGCTGATAAAACATGTAAATAAATAGATTTTAAAATGTACGTTTTTAAATTCAAAGTATCATAATGTAAATGGCTACAATAAAATGTTCTCTTTGTTGATAAATTTCCATCCACGGTTGTCTATGGATTGTGTGTAGTTTTATCACATTTTTCATAAAAAAATTATAATTGACTGCTGATTATTGAAGTATAAATAAATTTTCAATGTGGTTAGTTCGTATTTAAAATATTATCTTAATACTAAATAAATATAAATTAAGTATCATTGTCAATATAATTTTCAAATGCAATATTGAAAAATAATTTTATCACTATAGATATTAAAATATGCTATGTAAATTTTGATTAAATAAAGCTCTGATAATCACTTAGGATAATAAAATAGTTATTTTTCATTTACATAATTTTGTTATTAAGTCAGTTTTATAGAAAAAAAATTGCGTGATGCATACATTTATCGAAATATTAATCTGAGAAGGACAAACTTTTATTATTTGCAGTTATTTTAAGTAACCAATGTAGACCAACTAACAATGACTCATCATTGTTATTTCACTCAGTGAGCTGTATAGAACAGAATATTCAAGCCAAGTCGAGTACTAAAGAACGAAAAGCTATGGCCAATGTGTTTTTCTTAAGTGCTAGCATGAAATATTTCAAAAGAGAATTGTAACTTTTCCGTCTAATGGGAAATGACTAAAGCGGTTGAGTAGTTTTTTGTTGGCAGTAAAACTTGATATATACATACTTATATATTCGTATATGCGTCTAAACCGGAAAATATTATTCTTGTAGTTGTGTTGAATACATAGATGGGTACTGAGTATCGACGAAAAGCGAGCGCGCTTGCGCCCGTTAAGCCCTTACTTCGAATACAGACACGCCTACACTATACGCTACCCAATCCATTCTGTGCACCGGACAAGGGTCTGACAAAATAACCCCTGAATTATTTATCCCTAGCAAGCTAAGTACGTACGCCGCAGTTGGTTGCCGGTTGGATGTAATAGGGTAGTTGATGACAGTTTTCCCACGTAGTTCTGCCCATCTTTATGTCTTCAGAGGGAAAATATATATTTTTTCGTGTTGTTAAATCGATAAAACCACCAGCGATTGTTTGCTCTTAGATGTAAGATGGCTGTTTTTCACATACGAGCCGCTCACAGAACAAAGAAAACTACGTAAAATTCATTTTAGAAAAAACACTACGTAGAATAAGCAAAGCTGGTCTTGAACGAGTTATTTAGTGACTGATTAACGTACATTTTTTGTATTCTTCGTCAAATCCCGCTTTTTAAATAAATCCTAAAAGTGGTTTCATTTTATTTATTTTTAATGTTAGGTTAAATATAAGAAAAGGCATATTTTTTGTTGTATAAAAAAAAAATTAACAAATGGAAAATCGTTTTTAGTCCTCCAAAAATATTATCACCTTACGCCTTCTAGTACTTAACTTAATTCGTCAAGTTTTTTTAACAAACTTATATAATTTTAGCGAGTTAAAAATAAATTATTAACTTGATTTTTTAAAGCTATTTAACTTACCATAGAAACATAGAAAATTTTTTATTGATAAGTGTGTGACAGTATAATTTATCATATGTTATTGAAATTAAATAATATTAGCCACGAGTAATTAATTTTTATTATATATAATAATTTATATTTTAAACTATCACTTCTTTCCACTTACAACAATGACTTTTTATGAAATGTATTTCCGAAATATGGTAATATAAGGACCAGAACCAAAATTCTAATGACGCTCCCATATGATAGGTGTCATTTAAGCTTTATATTTTATTTTATATGTTAACGAAAATTCTGAATTTCGGGGGCCATTGTTGCTTTTGGCTTCACTTTATACGTTATTAATGCGAGGTGCACTATCAAGTTCTTAAATATTCTATAGCAATATTTTTTCAATGTTTTTTTTTTACCATTAAATAGATAATTCATTATAAAACTAAGTTAAGGTCAATACGTTATGTATATGTGTAATATAGTATTTGGTGCACGGCGAATGTTCGATAAAAACATCAGGGGACACGCAATTTAGTATGTTGTTTGTTTTTAAATTTGATCCGGTATAGATATTGAGTACCTATAATTTGACAAAAAAAAATATCAAGGACACATTTTTTTTAAATTTATTTTATTTTATCCTATACATCTGAAAAAAGTCATTGATAGAATTAAGGCTCACAATTTAAAATCTACAAAAACAATCTACTTGATGGCCAGTTGCCGTTTATTATTTTCTGTTTTGTACACAATAAATTGTTGATTGCACGTACCTTCAATATTACATTCGGCATACACGTATATATTAATATGTAACGAATGTTTTTAAAAGAAAAAGGCACAATGACGATCAGTGTTATGTTATCGTCGATATTTCACATACACACACACACATACTCATCGTAACAGTTAAAGGGCTCGTGACGCTTCCTATTCATAACAAAATCATTTTTTGTAAAGCTAATAATACGCATCGAAGGTACATTACAATAATACAATCGTTTCTCCCCCTTCGGAAATATAACTTTACCTTTAATACCAACGCCGGTGTCCTTAATATTATGTAAACTATAATACTATCGGAGTGTGTCAAGTGATTAATAATCCTACGACACTCAGGTAAATGAACCCCTTGGGCTGCAGCATACATTTGTAAGGGGAGAAAAATCGAGCATGAACCTGCCCCGATATCCTGCACGCATGTGCCCGGAAGTCGGTTGTTAATCGGTCGGAAACGATCTCGGGGGAACCGGTGTTGGCACCCCTAGACAAATAAAACGCACCCCTGGGGAGAAGTTAACGATTTTTACTTTGTTTATTTCCAAATCACTTGTGCGAACGAAGAGCAAGTGCTTCGGGGAACAGCTTTCATAAACGTTCGGTGATTGAGCCAATTAAAGACGGTCATGTTCGTTTTTTCAGCTCATCATGTTGGAAGTCAAGAGTTCATTACCAATGCTTCCAACTTCGGCCAGTTCAGAACTGGATACAGATTTAACCAGTCTCAATTGGTTACACAGTTTAACGAATATACTGGCTGTGCCATCATTACCAACACCGCCAGAATCGCCCAACTCACCTGTGCGTTCGGCTGACCAGAATCCGAAAAAACTTCCCCACAAAATACGCTTCCAAATGAGTAAGGAATTTTTTTTTTAATGAATATGATGATGATGATGATGATGATAATAATAACCATGTTCTAATGGGTAAAGGTTTGGAAAGTGCTGAACAGTATAAAAAAAATGGTGACAAGAAACCGCCGTTTTCGTATTCAACTTTAATTTGTATGGCCATGAAAGCCAAAGGCAATAAGGTTACGTTGAGTTCTATCTACTGTTGGATCAAAGAAAACTTTTTATACTATCGAAATGCTGATCCAAGTTGGAAAGTATGTATTATTATGACATTTTTATTTCTTTAAGTAATAATTTATAATTGATGCAATATATTTAGAATTCAATTAGACATAATTTGTCGTTGAACAAATTTTTTGTCAAAGTACCACGTTCTAAAGACGAACCAGGTAAAGGAGGTTTTTGGAAATTCGATGTTGATTGTTTAGAAGGAGGAGCACGGCGCAAACGAACAAGTAAGTCCTTTTTTGTTATTTTGTAATAAGCATTGCAATAATAGAACTTTTAATTAAAATTAATTAAATGATTTTTAAAAAATCGTCGAGGAAAATTAGATAAAACAGTATTTTTTACCAAATTTAAAGTTTCTTTTGAGTATCGAATATTTATTAGAAATTAAATCGACAGTTTTCTGTTTCTGTATTTTTAGGTAATCGTAGACGGACTAGCCGAATACAGACAAAGAGTGCGGCTAAGGTTCAGGACGTTATGACTGCGGAAGATGAAAAAGCGTTAGAGCTAGCTGTTCAGTCACTAGAAGAAGAACAGCGACATATGGATAATTTGGACGGTTTTAATCAGCAACACCCGTTGATACTTCCTGTGGATGAATCAATGGGTGAACCTGAGTTGGTTTACAGCTGTTCCATAAATGCAGCAACCGTGGATCCGTTCATGTCTTCTGTGGTCGATTACACTGTTATTGACATACCTAACGAACATTCGCAGCAAATGGCAACAGACGAAGAACTTACCATGTTGACTAACTTGACGTGGGATGACTCGCAAATGGACCTGCTTGACTCGTTACTCGATTCTTTATAAATTTGTGATTCGAGTTTACATCATACGCGCGAATTTGCCTTCATAAGATAATCTTCATAAATGTTGTAAAGTGTCAAAGTGAAACTAGTCTCTTTTTGTTTAATTTTAATTAAAATTACTTGAGTGATATTGAAAACTGTTTTAATTTATCTTTTTTATATAAAATATGATTTGACTTGCTAGTTTTTTTAAAATGTTTATCATGTTTATTGACAATTTAATTTAACACAAATATGGATGTTAAACATTTGGCATTAATCATTTTGTCTATTATTTGTAACAAACGACTATTCATGTCTAAAACGATTAGGAAGTTTGTATATTAATACAGATAATAATTGTAGATAATAACAATTAAATTTAATATTTTTTTTGAAAAAATAAACATCTGTAATATTAACAAAGTAATTTTTTGAAGAGTTTTATCCATTGAGCCTTCTTGAAATTCGCACAGAATTATGATATAATAATATATACTACTTATGGAAGTTATTTTAAGTTATTTAATTATTTATGTAAATTATATGGAATAAGAAAAACAATATATGAACTTAATCATGTGTTACTAATAATTTATCAATTTAATTATGTATATAATAAAATGTGAATTATTATTATAAAAAAACACCACCATGTAGTACTATTTTTTGAGTAAGAACTTTTTAAAACCGATCCAAATAAGTTTGTTGTTCTTTGAATAGCGTCTAATTGATCGGCACTTAATGATGAACGCTGATCATATGATAGAGCATGTACAGACGATAATGATAAGTGAGATAATTGTTCAATCGTCATTGACTTGAAAATAAATTAGTTTTACTGATTCATTTATTATTTACTATCGAAAATATAATCACTATATTTTTTACTCACTTGAAGCGTTGTACTAGGTAAACACTGCATACTCGAAGCGGCTAAGCCTTCAAAGGCTTCTGGATGAATATTTCGGACCGAATCTAGACCTGCTATTACACATCCGATTAAAGCTATCTGATGAAAAAGTTTTGTTGATTTAATATAAAATCATTTTAATATGATTAATGTACTTACTTGAATTGCTGTCCACTCTGATGGATCTCCAAACGCATCTTTGGTTTTTGCTAAGTTAGCTAATTCTTTCATTACATCTTCAGGACAGTACAACAGATTTGAAATATCTGCTGCGGCAGCTCTTTGAAAAATATTTTAATATATTAAATGCCCGTCTTAATAAATAATAAAAATATTATAACTTATTACTTGAATGCTAAAGGTTTGATTTCAGCTATTTGCGTATTATTGAATACGCACAAAATTTGTCCAAGAGCTGCTAAATCGTAACCACTGAAGTCAGAAGGATTTTTATAGCTCCATTGATATTCAATTGCTTGTTTTAAAAATATCAGCTAAATATATTAAATGAAACACATTAAACTTTATCTTTGAATAATATTTTGAAAATTTTAAGAATTTCGAAGATAACTTAAACAACTTTTGATCCGATTAATATTTTTTTTTAAATATTTTATATACTTATGGGCTATAATAATAATGTAATAAATACCATTTTTATAATTAAATAAAAAATTATAATTTAAAAAATTTACAAGAAATGTTTAAAAAAAATTCAATATAGCCATTTTTTAAAATAAATTTTAAGAACTAAGTTGGTGAAAACATTTCTCATTAATGTTTTGTAGTTAATTTTCTGTAACATTTTAAATTTTATAAAAATTCAAATTTTTCTATATTTATTTTACAGTATTAAACACTGGTTATGTTTTATAAAAAAGGACAAAAGTAAACATAATTTTTTCACACTAAATATGATATGTGTATGGATTTTTCCATGAAAATTTTTGATGTAATGACCGGCTTTAATTCAAATAAAAACACGAACAATACCTATAACTTAATAAGTAGTTTTATCTCGTTAGAGAATCTCTTTAGTAGATAAATCTACTTATACTAACTAAAATTATAATTTATTTATCACGAGTCAAGATTTATATTATAGTAAGTATAAGGTCTATTATATTTACAAACTTGATATTAATACGATGATACGATATTTGATAAGGCAATTATTACTAATCACTCTCATTTAAATGCATAAGTAATTTTCATGGAAAAAGTTACACACCTCCAAATTATAGTAATCATGAAAAGATAGTGTTTTTTTCTGTCCTTTTTTCAACACGTATTTCAATGTTTAATACCATAAATAATACATTAATAAGATATTTTTTTATCAACATTTTTCTTGAAATCTTCTCTATAAAACAGCTATCTTAATTTTTTTTTTACATTTTATTTAAAATTTTTAAATAATTTATATTTTTAATAAAATGTAAAAAAATGAGTTATTAAGATATAATTATAGACCTAACGTATAACTATTATTAAAAAAAAAAAAAAAATCATCTAAAAATATTAACTGGATTAAAAGTTATTTAAGTTGTCAGTAAGGGCGGGCCACTCTGTTTACTAATAATACGGTTTAATTTTTAGTGTATAATACACAACTTTATAAGTATTTTTTTTAGGCCAAAATTTGACTAAGAATAATTATTTTATTATCTACTTTTTATATATTATAATTCTTTTTTTAATGATTTAAAAGGTTTAAGTTATTAAAAAAACTAACTTTTATAAAAATATTAATTTATTTAAAAATAGTGTAGCTTCTTTATGTGACACTTGTAAAAGTATAATAATTATCTAAAATAAAAAAAGATAATTTAATAAAAAGAAAATTTTATCATTATATTTAATAATTTTGATTATTTTATAAATTAATAATATTTTGAATCAATTTAAATTTTAGTTATTGTAAAAACTCAAGTTAACTATTTTATGATATTTCAATAGTGCTATAGGTAGCTAACTGACCAAGTCTTGGTCATAGACAAAAAATGATTATTGTAGTTAATGTTTATGTTTTTCACATATCATTTTTTTTTCATTATAGGTAGATTACTAAAGAATTATTTACTTGTTCTTCAGAAAAATTTCTATACTTTCCAAAAGCTGCAATTGTTTCAATATCTGTTAAAGATATATTTAAAAAATCTAGTGCAGGTATACCAGACGCTATCCATCCAAGCAGTTGAAGATCCTCTTCTGGTACATTATCAACAGTTTTGTGCACCTAGAAAAATTAACAATTTAAATAAGTATTAAATATGGAATAGAATAATATGATTCACATTTTAACATCACATAAATAAATTATTTTGTATAAAAAAAATCTAAAGAAATACAATAAATATACTTTATATTTATAATAAATAATAACTTTATAATGCTAGTTAATGCTTTCAATAATACCTTTACTAGATCTTTCCATAGAGCAGTAGCAATATGTTTTTCTAATCGGTTTTTACCCATTATGGTTAGACACGTTTTTAACTGTTCTTTGTTTTCCTGGGTTATTAAACCATTTATGTCTGTTTTTGAAAATTTTCCCTTTCGTTTAAGTAGGGACTCATCACAACTCTTAAGTTCTATAATAGAAATCAAGTAGAAAAAAAGGATGTAAATCAATGGTAACCTTGCTAAATTCATTCTAATACTAACAATAGATTGTGAATAATACTTTATTCTAATACTTGATTTTTAATCAAAATCACTACTTAAAAATGTAAATATTCATTACTTTCTTTAATTGAACAGGGATTGATTTTTTTGTGATACAAACTGACAATATATATAATGTATAAATTCCTACTTAGTTAATTAAATAATAATGTTTGAATGGAATAATTTATTTGCTAAAACTACAAATTTTAATGAGTCTTCGTAAAGATATTTAATAGATATTGGTTTTTTTTGTGCCTTTCTCAAAATCAGTTAAAATTAATTATGTAAACATAACATGCTTGTAAAAAAAGGGATACATCCCGTAAACTAATATAATAAAGAAATAAATTGCCCAATTTTTTTTTTTGTAACTTTTTATGGTTATTATAAAATTTTAAGCTATATTCTTTATATGGTTTTATAATATCGTCAGAATTATTCCTAGATTAATGTTTTACTTGCACATATTAATGATGCGCTCTTTTTAAGCGTCGTATTACTAAGAATATTTCTTCTAAAGGACATACTCATGTCTGTAATTTATAACAGTATACCTTTGATTTATATTCGTATAACATAGGTAAAATATAAAAAGTGTACCTGCAAGTACTTACCTAGCACGTATGACCAGCTGTTGGTGCATAGTGCAGTGAACTCAGCTATGTGGTAGGGGCCAGTAGTTTACGACGCATAAGACAAACCAAAACCAGTCTTAGTTCGTAAACAGTCAGCTCGCTATGAACGATGGTATGTGTTAAATAGAAAAAACAATATTATTTTCTAAAAAAATGAATGTTATATGAATTGAAACTACTAAAACTTTAAGGTAAATAACTTAGTATGAATAGTTGATGAGTTGAAAAGTTTTCATATTATATATTATAAAGCTCTTATATTTTGTAGTTAAAACTTAGCTTTAATGTTATCAAAATATAAATTGATGCTTTGAAATGTTGATAAAATATTTTAATATTTATTAAATTACTGGAAGAAAATAGTTTTTAATGAATTGTTCGTATTTAAATTTAAATTTAATCATGAATTTAAATTATGAATCCTTGAATCAAAATATTATTTAACTTGTTGATTTAGTGTGAAAATTAATATTTAAAAAATAGAAACGTCAATATTGGTTTTCTTAGCAGTAGTAGGTGAATATATTTTCGAGAATACATTAGTATGTCAGCGAGCGTTCGTCTATTAATGTTTTATAAGTCATTCCTCGTGTGACACGTAAAAATTATTTGTCTTTTCTAAGCAATATTGTTGTTAAATTAATAAGACTGTCGTTCGTAGATCCAATAAATATTTACTACAAAATAATATGTCTTTTTCTTTTTTCAATTGAAGTCTCCAGTAATTTAAAAAATCATATATAAATGTCAAAAACAAATATGGTTATTATACCAACAACTAGTATATTATTTTTTACTGGTATTATTTATCATAATTAGTTTTTTAACAAATGTATGTAGTAACTTAAAAATTTTCTTTATTAACATTCCTTTATTGTATGAACGGACGACGAGTGTCCATAAAAAATAAAATATACATCTACATATTTACTAGTATATTTCTGTTTAAAAGAAACGTTATTTTTGTTAAATAGTTAAAAAACTATAGTTAAGAATATTAAGCCATAATAAAATATACTTAGTTTTATAATTATAGTTAAAATAATGTAACTTAATACAAATACCGGTATCAGTACTTCTGATTTTGAATGATCTACAAATATTTTTAACAACTGTTGCTATAACGTAGAAATCGGCGAGGACATTCGTACGTAAAACGTAAACCGTATAAAATATAAATATATCTGATGACCTTTCTCTACTTGTTAAAAATTAATTGCCGAGACAAATTTTCAATTGCTTCTGCTTGTCATTGTTATAAATGTTTGTACGCGTCATTTTGCTACTGTTTTGCAGATTTTGAGTTCGGCGATTACATTTAACATGTAGTGGCTTATAATATCTGTATGAAGTTAATTAACTATCATCAATATATTTGTCTCATTTACTTGCTTTAAATTTTAAAAAATACTCGAAGAAAAATGACGCATAGTTTTTGGTATAAAACTATATCATTGTTATGAAATTGGTAGTATATATGATTTGTTTTTACATACAAATAAAAACAAATCGATATACAAGTATATCGATTGATTATATATTATGCGACAGATTTAACGCTCAGTAGTGTATATTATATTTATACATTAAATTGATAGTGAGACATAAAAAATAAAAACAATCTTGTTTAGTTATATACTAATTCATAAAATTGACTCATAGAATATTTGGTCTATCTACGAACAATGAAGAGTCCACAATTAGGACTAATACAGCTGTTTTTATTACCTCTTTTACTGGCGTATACTGAAGGCCAAGCATGTTTCGAACCCACAGATTCCGATCCATACCTCTTTTTCTCACATAAAACAGCATATCAGCTAGTCTACAACTCAAAATTTAAGCCCGTACCTTGTAAGTGTACTTTGATATTTTCTAATTTATAAATACAAAAAATTGTTTGATAATTGTGTCAAATATATTGGATTCCTAATGGTATAATGAGATGACATTTTCGCAAAATTATAAAAATATTGCTTTTTTGCTTAGATTGTCAGCCGAAATTTATATGGATGTTTATCAGACATGGCACAAACTACCCGACTACTAATGAATCCTTAGCAATTCGCCAGTTGCATTTGTTCAAAGATAGAGTGATAAAAAATCACGAAGAACGTCATGGTTTGTTTATTAATATTAGTCTTATTTAATATGTTGTTAATATTTTTTTTAATTTTTTACAGATGGAAATTTGTGTAGAAATATACTGGATAGTTTAAAACGATGGGAGTTTGAAGTAAGTCCTATGTCTGAAGATGACATTTCTCCTCAAGGAAAAATGGACATGCGTTTGATGGCTAAAAGGATAAAAGATAAATTAAGTGGATTGTTGGTTAACAATATTAACCAAAATACATTCAAAGTAACATTGCAGTATAATTATTCTCAAAATAAGTTGGTTATTAATTAGTTTTATTACAGTTTCTTTCTAGCGAGGATCGTAAAATGATGAACAGCGCTGAAGAATTTTCTCGTTCAATGTTTGGAGATGATTTTAGATCGATGATATCAATTGATACTGTGTCAAGTAATTCTAGTTTTATTGGAGTACGTTAGCATTATCTTCAACTTTTTATTAAAAATGTTCGTCTTTATTAATTAATTTCTATAATTTAGTTTGAGGATTGTCCAAAACAAGAAATTCCAAAAAATGAAGTTCATCCAGAGGCTGTAAAATTTAGAAATTCACCAGAGTATTTGAAAATGGTTAGCCAAATCAGTGCCAGGTTGGGCTTCCGGGATAACATAACTGACTGTAGACATTTTTTTTTATTTATCTAGTGTTAAAACTCATAAACTTACTTATAATTTTATTATTTCAGCTATCATACACGCTATGTATGAATCATGTCGCTATAATAAAGCATTGGTTTTAGATTCTTATCCGGCATGGTGTAACTTGTTCACTAGACAGGAATTACAAGTGAATTTTTCAATGTAATCTTAATTTATTGACGATGAAAATTAATTTCAAATGTTTCAGATTTTAGAATATTATGAGGATTTAGATTTTTACTACAAATACGGATATGGAGTTGATTTCAATACCAAAGTAGGATGTCCAATGGCCCAAGAGATAATGAATTACTTAAGGTAAAAAGTTTTGAATATTAGAGTGACATAATTTTTTACTAGCTTTGCTCACAGTGATGCATCAAAACAACACAGTGACTCACCAACAGCTGTATTTAGATTTGGCTCATCCGCCGGACTCTTGGCAACTTTAATTGCATTAGACATAGCAAAAGATTCAGTACCATTAACGAGTGATAGTTATTATTTACAAAATCGTCGACAATGGAAAATGTCTCAAGTAGATCCGTTTGCTGGAAACTTAGCTGTTATATTTTACAAGTATAAATTCAAAATTATATTTATTTAAAAAAATATGTTTATTTAGTTTTAAGGAGCTATTGATACTATTAATTGAAGAGGTCAGTGAATAAGATATTAACTGACATTTTTAAAGTTGTTTATAAATTCTATTTTGTAACTAAATATTAAAAAGCTAATTTTTTTAATATTTTATATATGAAATAATTTATAAGAGGGAAATATCGTTTTAAGTATGCTCTATAATATTCTATAACTTAGATATATAATACTTAATATTTATATCTTCTGACCTCTTTAATTTCGGTAAATATTATTTTTAGGTGTGATCAAGGTGATGATGAAAACAAAGTAATGTTTTATTTAAATGAAGGTGTATATGATTATCCAGGATGTAATGTTGGTCTATGTTCCTGGAAATTTTTGGAAAATAAATTTAAACATTACCTTGAACAAAGAAAATGCATTGATGTTTGCCATGATCGTAATTTAGCATCTGGCATTCAACATTTTTCTATTCTGATAGTTATACTATTAGCTGTTAATATTATATTTGTAAGCTTATAAAAATAGTATGTACAACTAGCAATTGTATATTATATAAAACTTCAACTACCAACGTGATATATATTGTCATATAAGTTATTATAATTTTTCGTTTAGCTACATTACTATAATTTACATTACATATATTATCCGTGATGTGAAATCATAAAGGAATACAAAAAGAGCCACTCTTATCCTGTAAAAGAGAGAACCGTTAAAGATGTAAGTTTCTTTTCCTAAAGAAATTAATGTTCATCATAGTAAAATACAAATGCGCACGTGTGTATACTTTAAAAAGTTTAGAGATCTCAAAAATTGTATTTGTTAATGATATAAAAATATTTTATACTATAATGTAAGATGAAAAAAATCGTATGCAATCCTTCTTCTGATTAATCTGTCGTATTTCGGATTAAACAAGTAGATAGAATAATTGGATTTGTTCATAATAATAAAAGTGACTATAGTTTTATTAAGATTAAATTATTTTAAATTATTGTTTTGTATAACTTTAAATTTCTATCATAAAAGCTAAGCTAAATTGTATAAGTTAGAAAAAATTACTTTTATAGAGCACGGCAAATTGTTTTTGTATGATTATATATTATATTATTTTATATTACTTAAATGTTTTATGTCACGTTTTAGCTTCGATGCGAAGCGGAGAAGGTATTAATTTTACTATGATGTGTTTTTTTTTTTTTTTTTTTTTTTTTTTTTTTTTTTTTT